GGAGATGGTGTTAATGTCAGGTCACCTTGACAATGGTTGCTGCTCATAAATGTCGTGAAACAAAAGCACTATTTCCAGGAAGCAGCATTTAGAAGGAAAAAAGTAGTAAGTTCTCACTATGTACCAAACACACATACAGGGAGTTAAGTTGAATCCAGTGATTATTAAAATTTTAGCTGTTATGGGAACTGGCACATTAACAACCAACTGGGATATAAGCCCAAATGAAATGATGGTGAATGGTGAAGAGGGGGTTTCAGGGCATAGATGGAAGGGCACGGTGCAGCACAGGGACCCCACCAACAGGACCTGTGGTTGCCGAGGATGCTACACCCCCAGTGAAGACAGGCCAAGAGAAGCTGAGACCAGCAAGGCCGTGGGTTGTTACAAGTGGGATGCATCTAGTGTTGCCTTTTCTTTTGGCTTTGTTGGTAAATCATTCCAAAGTCCATTTGGAAAAGGATGAAATGAATGTCGAGTATACAGGTTCATTTGACATCTGTAGATGGTTAAGATCCTTTCAGCAGGACTGGAAAATGCCTTAAAGATTTTGCTTCATAACATCAGAGAAAATTCAGAAAGAAGGATACAGAAGTAAGGTGCCTGTGTTTCCTTCGTGGAACTGTGCTTTTTTTTTTACTGTCTTGCAAAGCAGCAGGAAAAGCAAAGCATGCCAGTTCCCACAACCAGGGAGAAGGGTTTCTCCCACAGGGGCCGTGTCCCCAACTGGCCAGGTTCTATCACTCCTCTGGGAGTCAAGTCAGGAGGTTTGCCCTCTTTCTTAGGGGTGCCCTGAAAGATCCCAAAAGACTGAGCCTTGAAGAAGAGAGTCCAGTGGGTCCTCACCAGACATAGGGTAAAAGCAGTCACCTGTGTTCTCCAGAGCTGCGTCCCACCAGCCTTCAGTGACCACGGAGGGGAGGCGATGCCAACGGTCTCGACTGCTAAAAGGACACGTCTGCCCAAGACTTGGTTCTAATGGTCTCACAAGGCCCTGGTGGGGGGGCCCAGTCCGTAACCTGGGACTTATCTGGGGTTTTACCTCTTGCAGTTCCACCATAGCTCAAGCCATTTTTTTCTTCACTCTGATTTGGGGAAGAGGGAAGATAATTTATGACAAACAAAAAACAGAGAAACGTTGAACTTCATACAAACTTGAGAATTAAAGTTTCATAAGGATTCAGTGCAGTTGGAGTCACTCATACCTGTCCCAGGCTTTCCTGGTCCCTCCCACTGACTCTTACACATACACATACACAAAAAAATGGAGGTTTGACGTGACACAGACCCAGTTTGGCAGCCTGAAAGGAGTGACTTTCTCAGAAACAACAGGCCTGGGGAAGCATTGCTGGTGGCTCAGAGGCAGCTGCCAGAGCATGCATGCTGAAGCCAAGGCTGGCGTCCAGCTCAGCTGTAAACACCTTTACAAACCACACACATTCTTCTGTGGAAAAGCCAAGAGCTGGAGGATGTCATTAGCACATTTTTCTCAGCTGCAGTGGGCCCTTGATCCCCTGGGACACAGCTTCTAGGGTCCCCCCCTCGTTTAATGCTGGGCTGAAACGGCTTATTTGTCACCAGTCCATTTGGGCAGGTGTGTGTGTAAGGAAGGGTCATGCCGGTCATCTGGCAAGTCTGACTGGCCTTCATCAGCTCCTTATCCCTCAGCTGATTATCACCCTCTCTCTCCAGCTCTCTTTACAGCTATTAGTTACAGATGAATGTTCTGAGCTATTTTTTACAAATTTAACCCAACACAAAGTGAACTCTAATTTGCTCTTAGAATTATCCTTCATCCATAATTTGGTCCAAGGATATTTACACTATGTGATATTAAAGGAGTTTTCTAGTGACTCGGAGGTACTGAGCCAAGATGTTTGTGGAATACAAAAGATGTGGGATAGGTAAACTATCACACCTCAGGCCATATCTTTCCCAGGTGAGTAAGCTGTTCCTAAGCAGAAAGGCTAACTGCCTACTGCTTACTGCCACTGCATCCCACGTGGACCAGGTCAGTAGGTGCGGCCCGTGCCAGAGTCCTAGCTCCTTTGCTGGGTGCCCAGCCTGAGATGACATGTGCCATCCTAGAGAGAAGTGGAGAGGGCACTATGTCTGTTCATCCCCTAGAAGCCCAGGCCTGTCTTGCTGACCCAGCTGGATGAGGGGTACCCTCGGACCATGCTTGGGGCCAGAATCTGGTGTCTTAAGCTGAGAATGGAAAGCAGGGTCTACTTCTGAGCAGCAATGGCTCTGGCTAAGGAAACTTGACCAGTGTGATTACAGAAACAGGAAAAGACTCCAAGCTAGGACATGCTATTTGGAATATGGGGAACACCATCACCTAATAGAACAATCCTGTTCCTGTACAAGAGAAGGAGTTGGTCCAAGTCCTAGGCCACATATGTCACAATTGTTTTTTTACCTTCAGTAGCTTTTATACTCATATCAAAGTTACTGCTTTCATATTTAGGTCACTCAAAGAGTTCCTCTTACTCTGGGTTCCTGCTAACTATGCACAACATCTCAGAGGGTGAGTTACAAAACTATTTTTCTAACTGTAGCAAAGGTAATTTGGGGTGGGGGAGGCTTGGGATATACCTAAATGTAGCTAATGACATTGTCCACCTTGAGGGATGAAAGGGAAACTGCACTTAAATTTAATTCACCATTGGATAGCTCGTGCCGTAAAGAACACACATCAAATATCCAAGAAGCAAAATTGATCATTAGCTTAATTTGGGAGCTCACTATAGGGGGGTTACTTTGTCTAGAACACAGGCACCTGCAAGTAGAATGTGAGCTGGCTTCTTGGCAATCAGATCTTAGCCCTTTGAAATGTATGGTTGATGTAAGTATAATTAAGTAGTAAACTTGTATGGTATATACCTATATTCCAATAGTGTATACCTGTATGTGTGGGATTTGCTAATATAACCATTTCAATAAAAACCTATTGAAAAAGATGCATTGGCCACATGGAGTACTGTTGGTGGTAACCTGTATCAGTGAAGACTCCTGGTTGCAAATGTCAGAAACCCCAACCCAAACTGGCTTAAGCCAAAGAGAAGTATGGTGTCTCACAAAAGCTTAAATGCCATGGGTATGCTTACGTCACTTATAGCATGGTTTGGCCCTCAGACACTGACACCAGGACACATTTGCTAGCCTTGCTTCCTCCAAGTAAACTGCATTCTCAGGCTCAGAGAGGTCATAGCCCCATCAGCACAAGAGCTGGTTTACTTCCCCAGGAGACCAGAATGGCATCTCCTTGACCCTGATTGGCTTGGTTGGAAGCACATGGACATCACCGAACCACTATGGTCACAGAGGTAGAATGTGCCATTAGCTAAGGCCAACATGGGCTCTACTTCTGCAGCCCAGGAGTGCATTCAGCTTCACCTGAAAGATAGGAGCTGAGAGTTGTAAGGTGTGGTTGCCACAGCAAAATCATGATGCTGCACAGGAAGAAAAGGATGTTGGGGCAAAAACAGCCAATGTCCAATACATGTAGAATAGAGTTGGAACCTTAAAGGTCTGGACATTAATATTACCTCTGCCACTTATTAGTATGAAATTGGCAAATCACTTCACCTGTCTGGATTTCAGTTTTATCTCTTTAATATGGATCTTAAAATATCTACCTCGTAGGGTAAATGAGTGGGGATTGGATTTAAAATAATGAAAGTAGGCTTAATATCATATATCCAATAACAGTCTAGTATCTGGAATATATAAATAACTCTTACAGTTCAACAATCAAAACGACAGCCAGGGTTTCCTTGGTGGCGCAGTGGTTAAGAATCTGCCTGCCAATACAGGGAACACGGGTTCTGAGACCTGGTCCAGGAAGATCCACATGCAGCAGAGCAACTAAGCCCGTGTGCCACAACTACTGAGCCTGTGCTCTAGAGCCCGCGAGCCACAACTACTGAAGCCCGCTCGCCACAACTACTGAAGCCCGCTCGCCTAGAGCCCGTGCTCCGCAACCAGAGAAGCCACCACAATGAGAAGCCCGCGCACTGCAGCGGAGTAGCCCCCACTCAACGCAATTAGAGATAAGCCCATGCAGCAACAAAGACCCAACCAGCCAAAAATAAATAAATTTATTTTAAAAAAAAACACCTTAAGCCTCCAGGGATGATTCTAAAGTGCCCCCTTCCCTCTGGCCTCCTTCCGGATTCTGGCGGCCTCAGGCCAGATCCTGCATCCCAATTAGCCCTGGATATTCTGGATTCATGCCTATTGCCCCAGACGGCATTTAACTGCTCTCTCGTTCACTCAAAAGGGTCAATGTTTGGACTGTGAGGCGGTCGACCCCTACAGGCCAGCACTGGGAGAGCAGGGATCCACATCCCCAGCCTCCCTTTGCTGCCCGCCCCATACCCGTTCAGAAGCCCCTGCTGGCCCCAGGGCAGGCCCTGTCCCCGACCCCAAGACCACTCAGCCTCAGTGATCCCATCTATAAAGTGAGGGACTGCACTGGTTTCTGAAGACCCTGCCAGCCTCAGAGCTTCCTGACAACCTGTCCTGGACTCCCGGAGGTTCTCTTTGTCTTAGGCCCAAGTGCCAAAATTGAGTTACCAAAATCGACTAACCCTTTTCCAGCCACCCTTTCCAATGTTAACACGCACTGGCTTGCCCTGCACAATCAGCCAAAACTGTATCTCCAAATGCTGTTTCTCTACATTTTCCCCGCAAACCCTGGATGGGTTTTTACAAAAGGCCAGAAGCCCTGCTATCTGTGGACCATGGACTCAACCATTCCGGCCAGAGGCGCGTGGCCCCGGCACCTGGCCGCTCCTCCTAGATGAGGCTGCAGCGCAGGGGCCTGCAGCGAGAAGGGCGAAAGTGAAGCGGACACGGCCGGGCTAAGCCGGCCTGTGGCCCGAGCACTGGGCGGGTGGGCGGGGCCGGGTGGGGAGAGCGAAGGGCCCGCTGGTCCCGGCGGCCGCAAGGGGGCGCCGCCCGCTCGCCTCGCCCCGCCCCGCCCGCTCGGCTCCGCGCGGCGACTACCGCGGCGCTTCCGCCTGGCCGGCCACGGCCCGGTGTGAACGGCGCCGCGATGTGGCTGGCCCCGGAGGAGGTGCTGGTGGCCAACGCGCTGTGGGTGACGGAGCGGGCCAACCCCTTCTTCGTGCTACAGCGGCGCCGGGGCCACGGCAAGGGCGGCGGCCTTACGGGTGAGAGGCGCGCGGCGACCGGGCCTGTGGGCGTCGCCGCGGGGCGGGCGAGGAGGGGGCGCCGGGCGGCGGGGCCCAGGACTAGCGGCCCAGGACTAGCGGCCCAGGACAGGCCCAGCCTCGGCGCGTCACTGCGGACGCGCACGTCAGCGCGTGCGGCGGGGGCCTGGGGGCGCGAGGCCGGCACTGAGTGGGGGGTGGGAGGTAGGAACGCGAACGGCGCGTGGGAGGCAGGGACGGGGTGGGGTGGTGCGAGGTGAGGACGGGGCCAGGGACTCGAGGAAGACAGATGTGCTCGCGTTAGGAGGCGGATGGGGAGACTTCGGTCAACCAGGGCAGCCAGGAGAAGGCTGGAGGCGGCCTCTGCCCGGACTCGCTGCCCGTGAGCTTCCCGGTGCTTAGCGGAGGCGTGTGCCGCTTCCTGGAAGGGGATTTCACAGCTGAAAGTCTGCGAAATCTTCTGGTCTTCTGCTTCAGTTTCTCCAAGTGCCTCCAAGGAGGGGTCAAGTGATACAAGCATTCGTTTTCTTTTGCCTCCTTCATTCCCAACTCACCAAAGAATTGCCTTTTCAGCAAGATCAGAGTTCTCCCAGCTGCTGCTGGCCTCAGCCCCCATCCCTCCAGCTTCTCCTCACCCACCTTTCCTGCTTCTTGGTGCGTTGGAGCTGCAGACCGAGGCTTAGCCGAATCACCAGTATATGTGTTCCGGTGAACCAGCCAAGGTGCCTCTTTGCCCGTCTGGGTACTACACAGGACTAGACTAGACCGGCACCGCCTGGAGTGTGTGGCATTTGGGATCCAGGGGATGCCTACTGGGCATTCCCTCTACAGGGGTTGTCCAAGGTCCCTCATGCTCCAGGACCTGCCCCAGGCACTCCCAAGCAGACCTGGGTCAGTCTTAGGGCCAGACCAGTGCCTGCGCTCCTCGGGTGGCCCATTGTTGCCATTTAGGACCTCAGGCCCAATGTTGACAGGTCTTCCAGTTATCAAGAGATTTTCTGTGAAATGTCCTAATTTTAAACATTAGCAGCTAATGCAGTCCTACCAGATGCAGATAGAAGCTTCCCATAGGAGACCTCTTCCGTCAGTCTTTCCTGGGCCACACCTCCTGATGTGGAAGAGACTGTACCATTCCCAAGAAACCTGTTCCTTTTGGTGCCTTGAGCTCTTTCCCAAAGGCCTCTAGAATCACAGGAGCCAGTGCTGGACCTGCCTCCTGGACTAGACTGTTCAGTGGAGGTTAGACAGCAGCCCCTCTGGAGAGACTGACCAGTGGTCAACCTTGAAGCCCAAGTAGAAAAGCAATGCTTGGGCGACCAGTATCTTTGGTTGCAGCAGCATACCGTTGTGTCAGATTTCAGGGCTTGTTCTGTGCTCTGTTTCTCCACAGATCATCTCAGCAGGTGGGTGGGTCCCTCTGTGCTCTGCTTTCCTGTACAGAGAAGGCCCTTTCTACCATACTCATCTCTCCATGTCCCCCAAGGCAGAGCTCCCCAGGTCCCCCCTGATAACCACACCTTGAACTCTCTGCTCCAGCTAGGTTTGGTGAGTCCTGGCATGGCCTCTGGCATGACCTTCCCTGTGCCATCATGGACGTAATGGCTTCCTGACCACTGTCTCCCTGGGGGAGGAACAGTTAGTGATGTGGTTTTATTCAAGCTGTCTTTTAAAAACAGATACCAACCTAGATTCTTCATTGAAGAATGTGATGAGATGGCCTGCCCATTAAAAAGTTTTCAAGTCTTGCAGTATGGATATGCCAACAGTATAGGAATTAAAATAAAATTTCTGAGACCAGAAGAGAAACCTCAACACAAACAGTAAAAAGCAGTTTATTCCAAACACTGATAAGGCTTGAATATGCCGCTTTAACTGCAATTTAGAGAGGCATTTTAGAACATTTCAGTAAAACAGGTGAGAGATTACAGACTCCTGACTTGGATGTATGTGAAGAGTACCTTCTTTTGTAACTGGTTATTTTATTTATTAGAGACTGGAGGGGGAAAAATCAAATTAAAAATGGAATATGAAACAGAAATGTTAAAATCGAGCAATAAAATCAATAGAAATTATTCTGATATCAACAGGAAAATGGTAACAAAATATTTTCAGATCATACCAAAAGTAGCTCTTCATGAAAAGCAAAAAATAAGTTTCAAATAGGAACAATGGACAGGCTTTTATGTAGCTGGATAATTCAATAAATAAAGAAGAATGAATCGGATAGTGGTAAAAGGTAGACATTTTCTCTAATTTATTGGGGAAATAGTGACATTGACAAATGTCAATGACATTGTGATGAGAAGGAAAACTTGAAATGCCCTAAAATGCTTCAGTTCAGAGGTGGAAAAAAAAAAAAAAAAAACAGAATCGGTGTTTTCCTAAATTGGACAATTCTAAAAATTTGCATGTTCTTTTTATTCATGACTTTTGAAGCTACATTATCTTCCTGTTGTTGATGTGGAAAATGATGTTACAAAATCGTTGTCTTATGAAGAAGGCATCAGAGTACACAGCCAAAAAGGCCGCACATGTCAGAGAAACATGTCTTAAGAGATGTGTCTGGCAGTTAATAAAACATACTGTATTATTTTTTTGGATTTTGTGATATTTGTAGTATTGTTGTTTTTAATTGTCATTGTTGTACTTTCTTATTCTGAAGAAATACTTGTTTTCAAACCTGATTTTGTATTTTTCTTGAAGAGGGCCTCCCAGATCATCTAAGCTTTGGGCCCCATAAAACCTGAATCTGCCCCTGCCTGCAAGTATTTCTGAGTCAGGAGGACAAGCAGAAGCTTCCAGGAAGAAGTGGGAGGGGAGTTTTTGATAGGGATCAGACACTGGCTGAAGGCCTTTGAGGAAAAAGAAGTAATTTAACGGACCAGGGTAATGTAAGGTGTTTCACCCTCTTGGCTGGGGCTTTGGGGGCACTGCTACCCTCATGGCTGCCTCCAGCCAGGCCCAGCTCTCAGCCCAACCCTCCCTCACCCTCCCCTCTCTCTGCCCTGTTGCCAGGTCTTCTCGTGGGCACCCTGGATGTGGTGCTGGACTCCAGTGCCCGGGTGGCCCCTTACCGCATCCTGCACCAGACCCAGGACTCGCAGGTCTACTGGACAGTGGCGTGCGGTAGGTGCCCTGAATCACAAGGGGTGCTGGGCAGGGCCTGCCCCAGAGAGGGAGGGGACGCAGGCTGCATTCCTGCATTGGACATGGCCCACTGAGAACCTGATGCTGCCCCTTGTTCAGACAGCACAGCCCAGGCCAGCATCCAGCTTAGGAAGGCAGCTCAGCTGTGCACAGATGCAGGGCAAGAGGACATGGGCCCCATGAAGCCCTGCGTGCCTCTCTGAGGGCTTGGCTTTGGGCAGTGTCCATGTTCTCCTGCTAACCTTTTCTCAAGGCGGATACAGCTTATCAGTATTCATGGACTACATATTTTTTTAATTCACCTACTCACTAAAAGTTATCTATAAACCCCAAAATCAGTACTTGTGGTACTTTTGGGGTCATTTGTGGACATCTGTGGAAATGTGTGTCTGCAGAGCAATGAAAAATTTGAGTCACCAGACACACAGGTTCCCAGCTGAGGTGGAACAAGGCATCCTTCTGCCTTCTTGTTTCAGCTCTCAAACCATAAACATGTCTCCTTTTAGAAGTTTAAGCACCATGCTTCTCACATTTTGTGTTATCTGTTGGTGACTTTGCTGTTTAAAATGGCCCCAGGTATAATGCTGAAGTGCTGTGTGGTGTTTTTAAGCGCGGGAAGCTGTGATGTGCCTTATGGAGAAAATACAAGTTAGATGAGCTTCCTTCAGGCATGAGTTGCAGTGCTTCTGGCTGTCAGTTCAATGCTAGGGTATTAAAAATATATATTAAATGAGGTGTCTTTAAGCAGAAAGACATATAAGACAAAGTAGTGTATTGATCGGTTGGTGAAAATGTTGTGACCAGAGGCTCGCACGAACTTAGCCCTGTAGCTCCCCTGGGAGCAGTACTGGCAAATTCAGTGTTCCAGAAGACTTTGTAGAACATAACCACTGTGAATAACGAGAATCGCTGGTAGTTGTCCTTCTCAGAGGACACACCCACCCTCCCAAGAGTCCAGGAGGAAGTCCCCTTTCAGCCTGGCTGAGGTCCCTGGGATAAAACAGCAGTCATAGCTGGCACTCAGACAGCACTTCCTGCATGCCAGACATGTGAACCTCCCAACAACTCCAGAAGGTGGAACTTTGATTTTCCCCATTTTGAAGATGAGGAAACTGGGCCCAGAGGGGTTAAGTAACCCTCCCAAAGTCACACAGAACCACAGATCAGTCCCAGAGCACCTGTTCGTGTCCACTGTGCTGAATATCTCTCTCTGCTAGAAGCCACAGTGTCACTGTCCCCCAGGATAGTGGTTTTCCTTGGAGACCTGAGAAGTGATGGGAGTGTTCACAGCTGGACTCCAGCTTGGGGGGGTGGGGGGAGAGGTCAAGGGGTGAAGGCACCAGGGTGCCCAGAGTGGGGCACTGGCAGGAGAGAGGCTTCCTATGTGGTAGGGCCCAGGGCAGTTGGTGTGTGCCTGGGCTAAGATGAGACGCTTCACTCTAAAATGGGCCCTTGAGATGTTCATCTTTGTCTCAAGGTGTTCCTTCTCAGGAGAAGGGCAGTGGTAGTGAGAGCAGCCTCTCTGTGGGGAGAGAGGAGTATGGCTACTTCGTGGGGCCTTGTGGGAACCCCACTGGTGGCATCAGGGCCTGCTGCTGGGGAGGGACCCAGATGCACTGTGGAGCCCCTGCCCTGGTCAGACCCCTGTGCTCATCTGCTCGTGCCTCTCTGTTTTTACCCACCACCTCTCTTCAGCTCTCCAAAAGCAGACACCTACTGACACCTGCCACTGAATCTCCACTCCTTAGACTGCCGTTAAAGGACTTCTCAGGGTCTGCCTGCCTCCATTTCTGTCTTCCTTCCCCCACCAGCTCACACCTGGCCTTCGGCCAGACAAGACACTTGCAGGGCATGAAGTTCTTAACTGTACCTGTCCTGGCTGGTGTACCTACAGCGTCGCCCCATGTCTACTTTACTTCCTCCTGCTCTGTTGAGTACCAACGCAGATGTCACATCCAATGGAAAACCTTCCCAGATTCCCCGGACTCATGTACCTACCCTTCTCCCTCCTCTAGACTTGCCGTGTCTCCACCAGCACTTTTGCATTGAAGGCTCACTGGCTCTCCCACTAGGCCAGCAATTCCTTGAGGGTGTGGGCAGGTTCTGCAGCTGGGCAGCCTGGATTAGCGTTATGGTGTGGGCACTTCCCAGCTAGGTGACCTTGGGCAACATACTCAACCTCTCTGTGCCTCAGCTTCATCCTATAAAATGAAAATAACTGTACCTGTCTCCAAGGTGCTCTAAGAATCAAATAAGATAATCCATAAAAAGTTTTGGAAAACAGAAATAGCACTTAATAATTTAATTAGCTATTATATTTTTTATTCCCAGTACCTAGCATAGAGATGACATAGTTTCAGTGTTTACTTAGTGCTAAATGAAGATTGAGTTGCTTTTAACTAATAATTATTTTAAGTGAATATATGTAAATATTTATAATTAAAGTGCAGACAGATCCACACAGGCATTGTGGACAAAATTCCTCTGTTTTAGCCTGCTGGGAACATGTGTGTAAGAGGGTTGCATCACATGCAAACTCAACTTCCAAATTCAAATGTGGGTTCTTAGCAAAAAGAGCAAGAAAGAAAGAACTCACTTCACCTAACAACTAGACCTTGGCCTCTGTGCACTAGAGAAAGGAGGCCATAATAGATATACAAAGAAAAATGAAAAAAAAATAATTTATGGATGATTTAGGAACTTCCAGAGGTAATTTCTATTTATAGTTACCTATTGTTATGATTATCACTGTTGTATGATTCTGGGTTTAATCTTTTTCACATGGGCATCCTCCCACAGACCATGGAAGAGGGTCTTTCTGTGGAATCGCTTGTTAGGGTGGTGAGCCTCTTGGGTAAATGTAAAGAAACAAACAAATCAACCCTAACCAAGTCAGGCTGGACTGTGACATGTGACAGAGCAATGAGCAGATGCCTGGGCCAGAGGAGATGACAGGGACCAACTCAGCCTGGCCAGGGCGGGGTCAGAGCTGAGTCTTCAGCTGATGGAAAAGTTGTAGCCAGGTAGTGAAGGATGGGGTGACCAGGGATCGGGCGCCCAGCAAAAAACGTCTGTGGTCCACAGTCATGTCGGACTCACCTCTTTGCTAACGCTCCCTCCATGCCGAGTGTGTGGGCCTGCCGTGGTCACAGAAGCAACTGGGCCTTCTGGGTGCTTACAGTCCACAGACTGTCCCACACTAGGCTGCTGAAAAGGAAGCAGAGCTTTCACTCCTTTTCTTATTCTTGTGTTAATTCATTCAGAGAAGAGTTCTTAAGTGCAAAAACCCCATGCCAGACACATGAAAAACCCCAAAAAGTGGGGTGCCAGAGGGGCAGGGGAAGCCAGGCCTGGAAGGGACTTCCCTCATCCCTTCAATTTTCCTCCTGGGGCCCCTTTTCCCAATTCCCTGATAGAGGCAGAGAAAACAGCTGCCTCACTCTTTGGGAGTGGCAATGGGCCGCCTCTCTGAGTTCTCCCATTTCCACTGGGCCTACAGTGCCCACAAGAACCCCTCCCTGAGGAGGGCAGGGACCCCCTCCTAGGTGGGGCAGACACTGGGGGCCAGCCAGACACTGAAAGGTCAGACAGGGGTTCCTGGAAGAGACGGGATCCAGGCTGGGATGTGAACTGGGATGAGGAGGAGGAGGCAAAGACCTGGGTGGGGCATCTGGCTTCAGAGAGAGGGATGAGCACCTCTGGCCCAGCAGGAGACCAGCCAGCCAGGGGCCTGGAGTCCTACAGGAAGCTCCAGCTGCCATCTGTGGATGCCTACATTCTCAGGAGAGCCACAGTCACCTATACCAAGTCTGACTGTGTCTGGCTAATCAGCTGTACATGGAAGACCACATTAAGTCCTTTTATCTCGAAGAAAAGTAAGTAAGCAAACCTGCAAATGTATAGACTATTTCTGGTAGGGCACAGAGGAAACTAGCAGTCACTCTTACTCTGGGCATTAGAGGGAAGTTGAGGCTTTATTTTCCTCATGACTCTGTAATTCTATTGGAATTTTTTTATTTTGTGTTTTTATCAGGACCATTTATGACTTTTGTCATACACATGAAGAAGGAAAGAGTAAGCAGCTCAAAGGTTGTAGTCACTTTGGTATAGCAAATTAGGTCAGCCATTTTAATCTCTCTTGAGTTTATATTTAAGGCCTGGTGATTTTATGATTTTCCTTTTCTTTATGCCACCAAACCTCTCCTAGGTTCTTCCCGCAAAGAGATCACAAAACACTGGGAATGGCTGGAAAATAACTTACTCCAGACACTGTCCATCTTTGACACTGAGGAAGACATCACCACCTTCGTCAAGGGCAAGATACACGTAAGATTCACTTTCCACTACTGGTTCTCCCTCTCTTCTCTGGGCTACCAGTGTTCACCTTTGTCATCTTCTATAACTTTCAGAGAACACCGTGTAGTTCTTTCCCCCATTAAACAGAGATGGAAACGAAGGGTTTGATCTTCTTTTAGTGTTGAAAGGGGCAGTTGAACTCATTGTATGCAGGCCCCATCTACTGGCCAGCCACCGGAGTTTAAGCTTAGCTGGGAGTTTCCATTCCCTGCAAAGGGCCTCAGAGCAAATATGCAGATACACAACTCTGATAGCCAGTTCCTTGGCCAACAGAGGAAGAAGTTGGAAATGACAGGATAATTTTAGGTATATTTCTATTATAAAACTAACATTACTTCAAAATGCACAGACACTTTGACCCAGCAAGTCCATTCCTTGGAATTTACCCTACAGTGTATTCATATGTCCAGAATGACGTATGTATCAGGATGTTCCCTGCAACACTGTTAGCAAAAAGGCTGGAAACAATGCCTCCCAGTCCCATGGTAAGAGGGGAAGCAGCTGTTCTTTCCTCTGCAAATTGAGAGGGCTCATACTTGCTAACATAGCATTTACTGAGTATTTTCTTTATGAGTACTGTGCTGAGCACTGTATATTCAGGGGACTTGGTCAGTCATATGTGGTATTCTTAGTAGAATATTTTACAGCTAGCAAAATAATTATGAAGATTGTAGCAATGTGTGAAAACATCACAGTGATGTTTAGATTGTTTCCTCTTTAGTGAATAATTACATAATGAGCATTTATCTGAGTTATCTGTGTGTGTGTGTGTGTGTGTGTGTGTGTGTGTGTCTTTTTCTTTCTGTTGGATTATTGCCTTGGATTAGATTCCTCAGAGAGGTGTTACCAGGTCAAAGTTTCATGATGCAAACTTACTTTGGGCAAGCCCTTGTGACTTCATTATACCAGAACCTCCTAGACCTGGGCAGATGGCACCAAGAGTTCCTCAGCAGTTCTCTGTGTACCTTGGGGTTCAGGGTGGGACCTGTGTTGCCTTTCTAGTTCCAGGAAAATAGACAAAGAGAGCAGAGGCAAGTCTTCACTCTCCTAATGAGCCAGCTGGGCAATAATAATAATAACAGCAACATTATGGAATGTTTCCTTTATGCCAGGCCCAAACAAACTAACCAACAGAACAGAATAAAGTTCTAGATGAGTCAAAGGAAAAAATGGAAATTAGAAAATATTGAGGGAATCCCCAGGCCATCCAGTGGTTAGGACTTGGCACTTTCACTGCTGGGGCCCAGGTTCAATCCCTGGTCAGGGAACTAAGATCCTGTAAGATGCGAGGCCACAAAAAAAAAAACAAAAAAACTGAGAACTGGGAAATTATGGAAATACTACTGTTTATCAGAATTTGTGAGATGTAGCAAAAGCAGGACACAGGAGGAAATTTAAAGCCTTACATTTTCTGTTTTATAATGTGAGGAAAAGAAGAAAGTGTGGTAATTAATGAGCCAGGTGTCCAATTCAGTAAGTTAGAACGCCAGAGAAACCAGGAAATTAGAAAGAAGGAAATACAGTTATCACAAAAAAATTACTATTCGCTGAAGACTCAGATTATAGTTAGCATTTTTTTAGCAATAAAGTATTTTTTAATTAAGATAGCTACCTTATTTTTTTAGACATAACGCTATTGCGTATTTAATATACCACAGTATAGTGTAGACTTAAGTTCTATATGCACTGGGAAACCAAAAAATTTGTGTGACTTGCTTTAGTGTGACATTTGCTTTATTGCTATGGTTCAGAACCAAACCTGCAATATCTTCAGGGTATGCCTGTAACAAAGGGAAGAAGTTAATTCCTTAGAAAATAAAGGAATGATACAGAAGAGCAACAGGTCCAAAAACAGATGTAAAATATAAACAAACCTGTGGCAAAAGTGATCCAGGACAAAAGAGAGAAACCTCAAATAAGTAATGTTGGGAATGAAATATGATAGCATCTATTTAAAATGCAAAGTTAGAGGCTTCCCTGGTGGCACAGTGGTTAAGAATCCACCTGACAGTGCAGGGGACACGGGTTCAAGCCCTGGTCCGGAATGATCCCACATGCTGCGGAGCAGCTAAGCCTGTGTGCCACAACTACTGAGCCTGTGCTCTAGAGCACATGAGCCACAACTACTGAGCCCACATGCCACAATACTGAAGCCCGTGCGCCTAGAGCCCATGCTCTGCAACAAGAGAAGCCACTGCAATGAGAAGCCTGCACACCACAACAAAGAGAGTAGCCCCCGCTTGCCACGACTAGAGAAAGCCCACGTGCAGCAACGAAGACCCAATGCAGCCAAAAATAAGTAAAATTTTAAAATAAAAATTAAAAAAATAAATAAATAAATCAGGGTTAAGAAAAAAGAGAGTAGGGGGACTTCCCTGGTGGTCCAGTGGTTAAGACTTCACCTTCCAATGCAGTGGGTGTGGGTTCGATCCCTGGTCCAGGAGCTAAGATCCCACATGCCTCGTGGCCACAAAACCAAAACATAAAACAGAAGCAATATTGTAACAAATTCAATAAAGACCTTAAAAATGGTCCACATCAAAAAAATCTTTAAAAAAAGAGAGAGAAAGAGAATGCCATAAACAGCTTTAAGCCCATAAATAGTAAGAAGTGAGACAAGATGGACACTCTTAAAATAATATGTTTTAGTTTCCAGTTGCTACTGTAACAAGTTACCATAAACTTAGTGGTTTAAAATAACACAAGTTCCTTTTCTTACAGTTCTGGAGGTCAGAAGTCTGAAATGAATCTCACAGGCTAAAATCAAGGAATTGGCAAGGCTGACTCCTGGAGGCTCTAAGGGGAGAATCTGTTTCCTTGCCTTTTCCAGCTTTCAGGAGCTTCGTATCCGTGATTCTTGGCCCTTACCTTTCTCTTGAATGCCAGCAGCATGGCCTCTTTAGTCAACCAGTCAGTCTCTCAACCCTTCTGGGGATTGGGATGTAAACATCTTTGGGGGGGGCTATTATTTGGTCTACCACATAATAGAACTTAAACTGAGACTCACAAAGAAATAGCAAACTTGAATATGCTTAAAACTATTAAAGAAATTGAATCAGTAATTTAAAATCTGCCCAGTGATTTTTACAGTCCACTTGTATCAGCAAACAAACAAAATCCCAGTCCTGTGGGCCAGGCCGTTCATTCCCATTGGCGAGGACCATTACTCCTGAGTAGAGGCCAGCGGACAATGCAGAGGAAAATGCAAAGCAGAGTGTCAGCCCCTCTGCTCCCTGCTTGGGGGTCTCCCAGGTGCAGCTGAAGGAGTGGGGAAAGGGGACTGCCAACTGAGACCCAGGAAGGTGGCCTGAGGGACAGGGTGCCGTGATGGCCCACAGGCTGTCTGGGGCCCACCTTTCCACTGGTGGGGCCCCTTTCCCAACCTCCCAGTAGGTGCATTTGAGGGAAGCAGAAGACAAGGGCAGGGCCTTAGTAACAAGAAGGGTGCTTTGCCAGAGCCTCTTTCCCAGACATAGAGCTAGTTCCTGCAGTAGTGTTCTGGGGAGGCACCAGAGGCAGCTTGAGAGAGAGAAGAGGTTGGAGTTGCAGCTACAGTGGTACTGGCTATACTGAGATGGAGTTGCATCTTACCTTTGGGTCTTCACCCAAACTCCTGGCTGTTCTCCCTGCTCATGGTTACAGGAATTCGAGGCTGCCAGGAGGCTCAGCAGAAGCAGCAATCTGGCCCACAGCAGTTGCCTTGAATTACTTTAGCTTATCAAGTCATCATCCTCCTGGAAAATCTGCATGTACATTTTGAGCCAAATGCACTAAGAACCTGTTTTACCCCAGGAGGTTTGGGGTTGGCTTTGTGGCCCAGGGTGATGTCTCTGGGCACCCTGAGCCCAGTGAAGATGCTGGTGGGATACAACATAGATATGCCCTGAGTTGGTTGGCCCTGTGGCTGATCTCTGGACCCTGAACTGGGTAGGTCCTGAGCTGGGTGGGTCCTGCAGCTGGTCTGTGGGCCTTGAGCGCGGGCAAGAGGCAGAAGCCCCCTGGTATGTGGGGGGGGAGTATCAAGTACAGAAGATCCTCCAAGACATTGTCACAAGAAATGCACGTCACAGAACAGTGCCACAGCAAGTTCCCATTTGGGCAAAGAAAGAGGGGAAAGAGCAGATTGCATGTATTTGCTTAAAGGTGCATCAGTGCCAGCCTGTCTGGGAGGAAACCAACAAAGTGGCTACAACAGCAGAGGAGATGGAGACTCCCTTCTCACTGAACACACTTTTTTACTACTTGCATTTTTTTACCATGTTTATGTATTATATTTTTCAGATATTTACGTTAAAATAGCTAAAATGTAAATTTAAAAATTCCCTTCTCTGATCCAGTAGAGATAATAGCTCAGGGAGTTACGGGAAATTGCCCAGCATCTGTCTGGCCAGAGCAGACGACAGGCCTACCTGCTTGTGGCCCTTGGGCCAGCGACCAAGAGTCCTGGGTCCCACCACTTGAGTTCCCTGCGGGAACCAGTCCCCTTGTCCTCCTACAGGGCATCATCGCAGAAGAGAACAAGAACCTGCAGCCCCAGGGAGATGAGGACCCTGGGAAATTCAAGGAGGCCGAGCTGAAAATGCGGAAGCAGTTTGGGATGCCCGAGGGAGAGAAGCTGGTCAACTACTACTCCTGCAGCTACTGGAAGGGCCGCGTGCCCCGGCAGGGCTGGCTCTACCTGACCGTCAACCACCTGTGCTTCTACTCCTTCCTGCTGGGCAAGGAGGGTGAGTGCAGGCAGCAGGAGTGCCCCCTGTGTCCCCCCTAGCCCCAGTCCCCCAGCTGGCCCTGTCATCCTCAGGGCATCCTCCTCTGCCCTCACCCTCGACCTCGCCTCTATAAAGTGTACCGCCTCCCCAGACTGTCGAAGTTCCTGAGGGCTGTCCCTCCTCGGCCCCCGGATATTCTGTCCCCACATACCCACCAGAGAGTCTCCCCAGAACCTAGTGGCCCATGACCAGAACTCCAGACTTGAACCAGGCATCACCGGGCTCTTGGGGGCTCCTGTCATGTATACATCAACTAGCACAGTTCTTCACGTAGTGACTTTCTGCACAGGGCCTCCCCTCTTTCAAGTAGAGTGCCGGGCACCCATCATCCCTGAGCGGCTCCAGGTTACATGGTGCCTTGGACGTGTGCCCCTGCAGCCACCTGCTGCAGGTCCCTCCCCACAGGAAGCCCTGGCCTCAGGACAAAAGGCAGACTCCCAGCCAGTGAACTCTGCTGCATGTCGCCCCCAGAAAGAGCCCCCAGGGCTTTAGCTGCTCTCAGTGTGGCCTTTCCTGGGCCCAGCAAGGCCGGCTCCCAGCCATGCACACACACCTGTCACAACCTCCCCTGCCTTTCTCCCACCTTTGCATCTTCTCATCAGGCAGGGGCCAGCATCCTCTCTGTACTGGTCACACCATGTTGTGACTTGTTCCCACAGCAGTGCACTCCCACTAGGTGGGGCTTCTCAAGTCCAGGGTCTCAGCTAGCTCACCTCTGTTTGTTCATTCATCTCATCCTTTAGCCATTTGGTGGGCAAACCCAGGAGATTCTCGGGGCTGGGCACTGGGTTGGCCCAGGATGGCCCAGTCCCTCCTCGTGGAGCTGGTGTCCCAGCATAGCTAGGCTCAGGCATGGGGCCTGGGGGTGGGGAACGGGCAGGCAGTAGATGCTGCCCGCTCCCCCACATGGGTTCCAGGGCCAGGCAGGAGTCAGGAGCCTGCCTGCCCAGCCCTCCAGCTGGTTTGACCTGATGGTGTGTCTGTCCCCTCTGGTGTCCAGTGAGCCTGGTGGTGCAGTGGGTGGACGTCACACGGCTGGAGAAGAATGCCACGCTGCTCTTCCCTGAGAGCATCCGTGTGGACACCCGGGACCAGGAGCTCTTCTTCTCCATGTTCCTCAACATCAGCGAGACCTTCAAGCTCATGGAGCAGCTGGCCAACCTTGCCATGCGGCAGCTACTGGACAGCGAGGGCTTCCTGGAAGACAAAGCACTGCCCAGGCCCCCCCGGCCGCACAGCAACATCTCGGCTCTGAAGCGGTGCGTTGTGCCTCCCCCACCCCCAGCAGGTGCCCTCCTCACCCTTCACAGGCTCCCTGCGTGTAAAGGGGGCCAGGTGAAGGGGTGGTTTTCGATAGTGGGGAGGGCACCAGGAGATTCACAGAGGCGTCGTCCTGAAAAACCTACCGCTGACGCTGACGTGGAGGGAGTTCTTCATGTATTACTTCTCAAAGCCCTGGGGTGGGGAGGCTCTCACAGGCTCCTTGGTCTCAGACAGGAAGCTGAGGCACAGGGAGGTAGAGCAGCTTGCCCCAGACCCCAGTGCCTTAGCTCTAAGTGAGCAGTGGAGCCCAGCACAGGCGCCCCACCACGTCAGCCAGGGCATCCCCAGAGGCCTCTTCAGGAAGGCTTCAGAATCCCAGCTCAGGGTACACCGCCTCCATCCCGCCATGATTGACAGCTCTTCTCAGGACCCCTGGGCCCTGACCCCAGGCCCCAGGAGACAGCCCTGCACAGGTCTGAGGTCTCTGCCACCCTGTCTGTGGGAATTGGTAGACAGAGGAACGATTCACTAGGGCTGGCCCCTCCAGAGCACTCTGTTCTCGCTCTTCCGTTGCAGCTTAGGGGAAACCTGTAGGCCAGCCAGGAGCTCAGATATTCCCTGAGCCCCTGGGGCCCACAGCCAGATTCACACCTGTGTGTGCAGAGACTGTGGCCTAGGCCCAGACTCTTGGGTGCACCTTCAGGACCAGAATGCTGTCCAAGGATATTACTTTCCTGATGCGAGTGACATGGTGGCTTTCAGAACCTTCCAGAAAGAAAATGAGTAGGGCCGGACTTGATAGTCTCTGGCATTGTCCATCGAGGTGTGCCTGCCAGGCCGAGCTCAGGCTGCTAGCGGCCCCCATGGGGCTGGGAAGAGAGAGATGTTTACGAGGACAGGGCCACCGCGGGGGCGAGGAACAGGCTACCGGGCCCCTGCCTCACACAGCCATCGGACTGGCGAGTGTACATTTCCGTTAAGCAACAGCACCCTGTGTATTTTTCTTTTGGCTGCACCACGTGACATGTGGAATCTTAGTTCCCCTACCAGGGATCGAACCCATGCCCCCTGCAGTGGAAGCATGGAGTCTTAACCACTGGACCGCTGGGGAAATCCCAGCACCCTGTGTTTTAGTCTTGACTCCACACCTGCCTGTCGGGAGGCCTTGTCTGAGTTTCTAGGTGGGGCTGGTCTTCCTAGTGAGAAGCAGCAGGGCGGGTGCAGGCACCCTCTGGGCACCACCCACCCTCAGTACCGAGCATGCTGTTTGTTGACCACTCCTCTGCTGGTCATACGGATGTCCACATTTTACTACTTGACCATTCAGTGTGCATGTGTTATTGAACTCTGAGATCCCTGGGCACAACTTGCTCACAGGAGGACCCCTACGAGCCTGAGTCCAACGTGGAAACCGAGGGCATGAGGCCGCCTTGTGAGTGTGCTAGCCCCAACTCTTGTCTGCTTTTCTATCTCCCCCACCTTGGTTTCACCAGAGACCTGGACGCTCGAGCCAAGAACGAGTGCTACTGTGCCACGTTCCGGCTGCCCGGGGACGAGCGCCTGGACGGCCACACAGGCTGCACCCTGTGGACCCCATTCAACAAGCTGCACATCCCTGGCCAGATGTTTATCTCCAGCAACTACATCTGCTTTGCCAGCAAGGAAGAGGATGCTTGCCACCTCATCATACCCCTGCGGGAGGTGAGCCCTAGGTCCTTGCCAGCTCTTCCCTCTCTTACCAGGGCACGTGGCCAGGTCCCCAGCCCAGGAAGCCCCTCAGGATTTAGTGATGTAAGTACAGAGGGCACATGGTGGTTCATGTGCTCCCCGAGCACCTGTCCTGTACCAGGCCCTGGCGGGAGTGGGTGCACTGGATGCCCCCTCAGGGATCAACCTCACCTGGTGAGGAGATACGGTGGGCTTTGGCCTGCCAGCACAGCTCACAGTGGGACATACGAAAACCTCAACAAGGACCCACACCTCCCTGGTCAGAGCCCAGTGGCCTCCTGCAGGTGAGTGTCCCCTAGTCCTGCCTCCTTGGGCCTTGCAGTTAGACTTTGGCAAAGCCCTGCTTTGGCTGGGCTTGGAGGACTCTGATCCCACCCCAGCCCCGTGTTACTCTCAGGGGCCACCTCACTGTTCCTCTCCTGACACCTGCCTTGGCTGTGGCTCAGGCTCTAGCAGAGTCATCGGAAGTCAGCCCTTTCAGGAGTGGGGTCAACTGTCACCTGTCAAGGGTGGGGTTAGCTCTCACCTATCAGAGTTATTTTTTCTCCAGTTTCTTGGGCTTCCACAGTGACTCTGGTAGAAACAAGGCCATTTGTCCTGTGCTGCCGTGAAGGTGTAGACAGTGAGGGAGAGCCATCCACCCCTCCAAGGCCTCCTTTTCCTCATGGCCCAACAGGGCATACTGGCTGTTTAATTGAGGTTTAAGTGAGGTTCTTAAGCTATAAGCTAAAACACAGTATTTTGTTTCTATTTAAAATGTAGAGCAGTGGGACCTCCCTGGCCTTTGTACAAATCCCTGAAGTTGCAGGTATTGTTGCAAACAGGTGTGAGGTAGTGTGCTGCCTCAGTTTCCCCAAGGGAAGTCAGAGGCAAAGGACTTAAAGGAGCCACAGCTCCAGGCTCAGGGACTCAGAGCTGGCCCCTGACCCCTCGCTCTCCTTTGGCACTAGGTCTGTGGATTTGTCCTGGGTGCTGTACTGATCTGACCCTGAGCCCTGGGGGCTGGCTACAGGGTCATGTTAGGCCCAGCTCCATTTCTCCTGATGAGTCCTGACATTCCTGATGGCAGAGAGCTCTGGCTGAGCCAGGAAGCTCTTGGGATGGGGCTCTGCAGCTGGTCCTGATGGAGGCCCCTGCCCAGCACTGACCTCAGTATCCTAGCCAGGGGGCTTCACAGGGGCTCCTCACTCATGCCAGCCACACTCATGTGTCCACTGGGCTCTTGAATTTGCACTCCCAAATCTCATCCTCGCCTCTGGAAGTGACACCCCTTCCATCCGTTTGCTGAGGTGGAAAGCGGGAGCCATCCTTGATTCTGACCTGGCCTCATTCCCACATCCTGACCATGGCATGTCCTGTCAGTTTGCTCTCCAGAGCATGTCCCTTCCTCTCTACAGCCACCATCTAAGACAAGCTGTCTCCTTGGCTCACCTCAGCAGTACCTTGTCTCCACCTAAGGCTTGAGGACCTATCCTTTAGATCCCATCCTTCCACAGCAGCCAACATAATTTAAAAATCTGCTCACCCTGGGTAGAATCCTCCGGTATCTTCTGTGATTAGAAGAATCTCCAGTTGCCACACACAGACATGCAGGCGCACACACACACACACACACACACACACACACACAGACACACACACACAGGCGCGCACACACACACACACACACACACACACACACACACACACACACAGCCCACCCCTTCTCACTCTGCCCCAGCTTCTCCGGTCTTTCTTTGTCCATCACGCCAGTCCAGCCCCCTCCTCAGGGTGGTTGCTGGCCTCTCCCCTAGCTCTTCGTCTGGCTGCACCGGGTCTCAGCTCAGTTACTGCCTCCCCAGAGGTGCCTTCAACAGGAAGCAGCCCAGCGGCCTCCCAGCTTGCCCTGTGGCCCCCACCAGCCCTGGTGACCGTGTTCATTAGCCTGCATGTCCATTGTTTGTACCCACCCCAGGCTGCAGGCCCTGCCCCCTAAAAGCCTATCCTATGCCCTGCACACTTGTACTGCTCTGTTCACACACCTCACAGTCAGAACTGGGCCCAGGACGCACATCAGGAAGTGCTGAGGGAATGAGTGCTCAGGAGGGCTTGCAGGCAGGGCTGCTCACTGTGCTTTAGGGCAGGGACATGACTGTCCATCTTGGGGAAGCTGATCAGGGCCAGCAGCTGGGCTCAGGCTTTACATTCTGTGTCACCATCCTGTTGATGGTCCTGCAAGGCTGATATGTTCACACCCATCAACAGCTGAAAAAATGAGGCTCAGACATGCATGTAACTCACACAGCAGCAAGCGGTAGAGTCAGAATATGAATCGGCCAGGCCTGGAGAGCCCCTCGTCCACTCCCTGCCCCATGCCTGAGAGAAGACGACCTAAGCCCACCATGCTCTCAGCTTCACAAAACCATCTGGCTTTACATCCCAAGATACAGACCCCCAAATGGTGTTTTTGTCTTCTCAGGTGACCATTGTGGAAAAAGCTGATAGCTCCAGTGTCCTGCCCAGCCCTCTGTCCATTAGCACTAAGAGCAAAATGACCTTCCTGTTTGCCAACCTGAAAGACCGCGATTTCTTGGTTCAGAGGATCTCTGACTTCCTCCAGAAAATGCCATCCAAGCCGCCAGGCAACAGCAGAGCGGGGAGGAAAGCCAGCATTGTGGACTCAGCCCCAGAGGTGAGAGGGCCCTTCAGAGCAGTGGGGTGGGGGTCCGGGCCAGGAGAAGAGCCCAGGCAGCCCTGTGGTACCTGCCTTGGGCCTTGGGTGGGGAGGGTCCCCGCTTGGTGCAGGGTGGAAAACCTAACCCAGCCCCAGTCTCAGGTGTCCTGGCCACACACGCGATGCCTAGGGTCACAGCCCTCTCTGTACGCCGAGACGTGCCCCAGTCCTCCTGAGCGTCACCCCTGCCTGCCTCAAGTCCTATTCCACATAAGAAGCCTTCTCTGCCTGGCCCAGCCACCCTCATCTCTGTCCCTTATGAACTCTGCTGCACTGAGAGCCCTCTGTTTAGGCCTGTCCAGCTTGTGTTTATTTACCTGTTGGGAGATTGATTTCTCCCATCAATCTTTCTTACAGGGTTACCTTTTACTGCAATCTTTTTACTATACCAACAATATTAACAATAATTCTTTAACATCAAAAACTTGTATTTACATTTCCCCAGATGCACATGTTCTTTTTACAATTTAGTCATTTGGATTGAGGTACACATAGGTCATACACATGTTACAGTGGGTTGGTATAATCCCTTTTTATCTATAGGTTTCTACTCCTCCCTCTCTCTCTCTCTCTCTTTCTTTCTCTCTCTTTCTTTTCTTTTCTTTTCTTGCAGTATTTTGTTGAAGGAATTGGGTCATTTGTGCTATAGAGTTTCTCGCAGTCTGGTGTTTGCTGATTGCATCTCTTGGAAACGCTTAACGGATTCTTTTGTGCCCTGGTTCTTGTAAGTTGGTGGTTTAGTAATGAGATCCAGCTTAGATTTGGATTCAATTGTTTGTGTTGGGGAGTGGGGGGCAGGTCCACTTGTAGGCAGGATTGAGGTGCTGTGTACTTCCACCAACAGGTATGCAATACCTGATTATGTGCTGTTACCAGTCATTGACAAGCATTGCCTAGATAATTCATTAGGTAACTCATTAGGATTGCAAATGGGGGCACTCTAATTCTATCATTCCTTCTGTTCATTAGCTGGAGTATTTCCATATAGAGAAATTTACCCTCAACAACTATTTGGTTACCATGAGGCACAGTTCATATAGAAAAGGCAGAATAAATCTTTTTTTTATTTACCAGTTGTTAAAATGATGAATTTGGTTTTCAAATATCCTCAAAATATGACCAATTCAGTTCTTTATGTTTACTTTTTAGTATAATTATGAACTTACAGATTTAAGCAACTTGATGTGTTTCAGTCCATGACAGTTATTATCCTCATTCCATCTGTGACCAGAGGAAGCTTATTCAGGTGACATCTGAGTCCTTTTGACATCACCCTGGCCATGTTTGATCACTCCCTTGCTTCTTGGTATCTTGGACAAGATGTGTGTGCTATTAACAATCTGGATTTGTGAAAACACTTCATGATTAGAAGAGTCCATATAAAAATCCACATATCTGGCTGCTCTGGAAAAATCAGGGGCCCTGACATTACAGGGCCCACATTCCCACTGAGTGGCATTGGAGCTGAGTGGTGGCATGTACACTTCAGCTCCCCAGAACCCCACCTGGTCTGGCCCATGAAAGCCTTTAAATTTTTCACCCCTGTAATCGATGCTCAGTCAACTATTAAATAGATAAGGAATGGAAGGGAAGGGCGTGGGCAGAATCAGTGTGCAGTGGAGACATTAAGAAAGGTTTCTTAGAGGAGGTTGGGCTTGATCTGGGATTTCAAGAAACAGTGAGGTTGGATTGGATGAAAAGAGATGTGAGCAGGAATGTTGAGCTGCCTTCTCAAGGCACAGTGCAACAAATGACAGGGCCTGACCAGCCAGTGTAAGCTTGGCCCAGTGGCCCCTTCCAAGCACCTGCCCTTCGTTCACCCAACACATTTTGTTGCATTCCCAGTAGGTGCCAGGAACTCTTCTAGGCACTAGGAATAGAGCAGATTAGACAAAATTCATGCCCTCTTAGAGCTTATATTCTAGTGAGAGAGACTGTCCATAAGCAAATAAACATACAATATGTCAGGTGGCAATAAGGGCCAAGGATAAAAATAAAACAGGGTGAAAGGATCAGGATTGCTAGGGGAAGCGGGGGGCTCTGATCAAGTGGTACTTGAAGGAAGTAAGGGAACAGCCCTAAGGTATCTGGGGAAAGGGTATTCGAGGCAGAGGGAATGGCAGGTGCTAAGGCCTGGAGGCAGGATTGAGCTTGGTACAGGCTGCTGAGATGAGTGGAGACAGGGTGCAGGTAATGAAATTAGAGAGGGAGTGGGAAGCCAGGTCATGTAGTGTCCGTAGGCCCTTGGGAGTACTTAGCTTTGACTCTGAGTGAGATGGGAGCCAGTGGAGAGTTTGACCAGAGTAGGGACACAGTCTGTTTATGTTTTAGTAGAATTTCTATGGCTGTCATATTGAGAATGGAATAGAGGTGTAGCTGCCCAGTACAGTAGCCACACGTGACTATTGAGCACTTGAAAGGCAACCACACTGAAATGTGCTGTAAGCATAAACTACACACCAGAGGTGGAAGATTCAGTGTGAAAAAGAGAATGTAAAATAGCTTGATTTTTTTAATATTGATTCCATGTTGAAATGATAATACTTTTACTATATTAAATAAAATATATTATTAAAGTTAACCTCACAATTTCTTTTATGTTTTTTAATGTGGCTACTAGAAAATTTTAAATTATGTGTGTGGCTCTCATTATATTTCTCTAGAACAGAGCTGGACTAGAGAGTGACGAGAATAGAAGCAGAGATGAGTTGGAAGGCTCTAACAGTTTTCAGGACACAAGATGATAGAGCCTTGGTCAAGGGTGGTAGCAGTGGAGTTGGTGAGAAGTGGTTAAATTCAGGATACATATATATATTTGTGTGCTTATGTGTGTGTGTGTGTGTGTGGTAAAATACATATAACATAAAATTTACCATCTTAACCATTTGTAAGTATACAGTTCAGTAGTATCAAGTATATTCACACTGTTATGCAGCCATTACCACCATCCATCTCCAAAGCTTTTTTCATCTTGGAAACTGAAACTCTGTACTCATTAAGTACTAACTCCTCATTTCCCACCCTCAAGCCCCTACCCCCAGGCCCCAGCAATCACCGTTCTACTTTCTGTATCTATGAATTTGACTACTCCAGGTACCTCATATAAGGGGAGTCATACAGTAATGTGATCGGCTTTTGTGATCGGCTTATTTCACTTAGCATAATGTCCTCAAGGTTCATCTTCATTATAGAATCTGTCAGAATTTCCTTCCTTTTTAAGGCTGAATACATTAGTGTGTGTGTGTGTGTGTGTGTGTGTGTGTGTGTGTGTGTGTGTGTATACATATGCCACATTTTGTGTTCATGGATTGGAAAACTTCATATTGTTAAGATGTTAGTATTACCCAAAGTGATCTATAGATTCAGGGCAATCCATTCATCTTTTAATGGACGTTTCAGTTACTGTCACCTTTTGGCTGTTGTGAATAATGCTGCTATGAACATGGGTGTTCAAATATCTCTTCAGACCCTACTTTCAGTTATTTGGGGGTATGTACCCAGAAGTGGAATTGCTGCGTCATCTGGTAAATCAGTGTTTAATATTTTGAGGAATTGCCATAACATCTTCCACAGTGGCTAGACCATTGTACACTCCTATCAGCAATGCATAAGGGTTCCAGTTTTTCCCCATCCATTCCAACACTGTTATTTTCTGTTATTTTTTACAATAACCATTCTAATGGATATGAAGTGGTATCTCATTGTGGTTTTGATTTGCATTTCCCCAGTGATTAGTGACATTGGGCATCTTTTCACATCTTATTGGCCATTTGTATATCTTCTTTGGAGAAATGTCTATTCAAGTCCTTTGCCTATTTCTTTTAATCGGGTTGTTTGTTTTTGTTGTCATGTTGTAGAACTTCTGGATATTAACCTCTTATCAGATACATGATTTGTAAATATTTTCCCCAATTCCATGGATTGCCTTCTCATTCTGATTGAGGATGATTGTGTCCTTTGATGTACATAAGTTTTAAATTTTTATGTAGTCCAATTTATTTTTCTTTTATTGTGCTTTTGATGTCATATCAAAGAAATAGTTGCCATACGCTTTTCTTTTCTTCTATGTCTATGTTTTGTTCTAAGAATTTTGTAGTTTTAGCTCTTACATTTAGGTCTTTGATCCATTTTGAGTTAATTTTGTAAATGGTATGAGATAGGTGTCCAATGTCCATGACCATTTTACATGTGGATATCCAGTTTTCCAATGCCATTTGTTGTACAAAAAACTATCTGTTCCCCGTTGAATGGTCTTGGCACCCTTGTCAAAAATCAGTTGAACGTATGTATTGCAAGATTTATTTCTGGGCTCTCAATTCTATTCCATTGGTCTGTATCCTTACGCCAGTACTATACTGTTTTAACTACTCTAGCTTTATAGTAAATTTTTAAATCAGGAAATTTGAGACCTCCAACTTTGTTCTTTTTCCAAGCTTGTTTTGGCTATTTGGGGTCCCTTGAAATTCCATCTGAATTTTAGGATAGATTTTTTTATTTCTGCAAAAATGTCATTGGGATTTTAATAGCAATTGCCCTGAATCTATAGATCACTTTGGGTAATATTAACATCTTAACAATATGAAGTTTTCCAATCCATGAACACAAAATGTCTTTCCATTTGTTTGCATCTTTAATTTCTTTCATCAGCATTTTCTAGTTTCCAGCATACAGCATCTGGTCTTTCACCTACTTGGCTAAGTTTATCCCTAAGTATTTTATTCTTTTTGATGCTATTGTAAATAAAATCATTTTCGTAATTTCCTTTTCAGATTGTTCAGTGTTAGTGTACAGGATATAATTCGAAGGTAGATCTGAGAGAACTGACGAATTAGATGGAGGGTATGGGATAAAGAAGGGTTTACAAAAAGATGACCCTATAGTTTTTGGCCTGAGCAGCTTAGAGAATAGAATCACCATTTAATGACATGAGGAACAGCAGTTTTGGAAGGAGCAGTCAAGAGTTCAGTTTGGATCTGAGGTCAAGTATCATAAGAACTAAGAATTGACTACTGGAGATGGCAAGTAGAGGTCACGGTGGCCTTTTCAAGAGTTGTTCAGTGGAAGAACAGGAAGAAAAGCCCGGTGGAGTGGCCTTCAACGGGGATAAGCTGTTGGTTATTGGGGTAGCTTTTTAAACCTTACCAAATTTTCCATTAAAATGCACAAAGCAACTTTAAGAGTAAAAATAAAAGCCCACAGACAACAGCTTTAACAAAGCCAGGTGAAAGGGTATCTTACAAACCCCAGACTACAAGTAGGTGAGGCCAGACCACCAACTGCAGCATTATTCTACAGATACAGAATCAGCAGCTGTGCTGTGGTAGTGGAGGGAAGAGAAAAAGGGTTCTGACAGTCCCAAGAGCCAAGGAATCCAGAAATCACCAAAAATACTTCCCCACACACACCCTCCTCAAAAGAGACTACCCACTGAACAGAAACCTCAGCAACTGACTAAGAGAAACCACCGGTGAAACTGCAGGCATATTTCTCAGGCTCCAGCTCACAGATGAGTTAACCAACAACACAAAACATGGGAATCCACTGACGAGCTAAGGGAAGATCAGAGAATGCTAGGACAAATCTAAAACACCCAACAAAAACTCCCTTCCAAAAGGAAAGAGCCCTCCCTGAGGAAAAAAGAGCTGGAACTGAGCAGGGCAGGAATACTGAGGGGTAAAGAGAGAGAAGCTTCTGACACTAGAGGAGACAGATCAGGAAGTCCTGGAGGGGGGCTCCATAGAGAGACTGCACCAGAAGACAGACCCCCAACCGTACAGTGCAAACAGCTACCCCATACATACAACATCCTCCTGTAAGTACAGAAAAAAAAAAAAAATTTGGGGGGGGGCAACCAGTCAAGAAGGACCAAGTCATTTATGAAGGAATGAAAATCAGAGAGGCATCAGGCTTTTTTTTTTTTTTTTTTTTTTTTTTTGCGCGGTACACAGGCCTCTCACTGTTGTGGCCTCTCCCGTTGCAGAGCACAGGCTCCGGACGCGCAAGCTCAGCGGCCATGGCTCGCGGGCCCAGCCGCTCCGCGGCATGTGGGATCTTCCCAGACCGGGGCACGAACCTGTGTCCCCTGCATCGGCAGGCAGACTCTCAACCACTGCGCCACCAGGGAAGCCCAGGCATCAGACATTTTGATAGCAAAATTTTATACAAATAGAGTAACATTTTGTAAGATATACAGTAAAAAAGCTGTGACCCTAGGATTTTCTGTCTGGCAAACTGATGTTCAGGTATCAAAACCACAGACCGTCAGGAGCATGCAGGAATTCACAGAAGCTATCAGCTTTTGAGGCATCTAATAGTGAACAACCTCAGACAACCAAGAAATGACGGAAGAGGCTTTGGCAGAAGGTCTGGTGGGAGCATTGAATGTATCTAGCTGTAGAAATAGGACTAGATAACAAGGATAAAGGTGACAAGTCATGTGTAATTTTATATGCTCTGAATACATAGAGTACAATGAAAACATGAGAAAAGAAGGTATGGAAAGTAGAATAAGCTCACTGACTGCCTTATTAAGTAAGAGCAAGGTATATCACTTTCAATTATATGTCGGCAGGGAAAGGAGTGGAGGGGGAAGATCAGGGCTACTTGCTAATTTTAGTATTGCCCCTAGGAGGGAGTCCAGTGTATTAAAAAGAGGGGACCCAGGGTACTATATAAAGACATTAGTATAAAGGTAACTGTTAGAACATAAACATACATTTTCTGACACTTTCTCAAGAAAAAATTGGAAAGAGAGGGAAAGGATACAGTGAGTTTAGGCAACTCTTTCCAGAAACTTTGTAGAAAGGCCAGCTGAGAATCACAGGGGTCCCTTCAGGGTGTGACTTTGTAATTGGAGTGTGACGTATATACTCTAAAGTGCATGGATCCTAAGTGCACAACTTGATGCACTTTCGCAAAAGTGGACATAACATGTGAGCACCACCCAGTTGAAGAACGGGGAGGGCTTGTAGGGACAACAGCATGATTCTATGCTGATGGTAATTAATCCAGTGGAGAGGGGCCAGTTGACAGAAGAAGGTCCTGGAGGCGAGAGCGGTAGGATCTTGGGCTCGAGTCGGGGGAGAGTTGGGCCTGGCATGCGTGGCCACAGTTGTGGGAAGGTGGACCGGTGGGGGTGACCGTGGATGGCTGTCCGATTGCTCCTGCTTCTGCTTGCTCAGTTCAGTAGTTGGCAGTAGGAAGTGAGGAAGATGGATGGTTTGGGAGGTTTGCACTGGAAAAATGTGTGAGACAGTTACCAAGAGGAAGGAGAGGGAGACTGGATTCCCAGGCAGTATGGGTCTGTGAGCTCACCATCACCCCAGGAACCTGTCTGTAACGAAGGATGGTTATTGCTGAGGTCACATCCTCGAGTCAATCTCCTTTCCGGCACTGAGGTTTCTGATTCTCTGCAGTGCTCTGTGGCCTGCAAGTCCATCTGTGTCCTTGTTCCTGCAGGGAACCTCGAGCCAGAAGCAGACTCTCTGCATCAGGATGCTTGGGGTCTGGACTGGGGTCATGTCCCTGGATTCGGGCAGTTTGTCATGAAAATGTATTTTAGTTGATCTAAAATCCATTTTGAAAACACCAGCCAGGGGCAGAGGGGCAGGCTGTGGATATGAACTTAGCAGAGTTCTCTTTTTTTTTTTCCTTTTTATTAAAAACAGTTCTACTGAGGTAAATTTGATATACAATATGCTGTACATATTGAAATAGCACAGCTTGATGAGTTTAGCATGTGTTCCCTGTGAAGTCATCACAGCTGTGGTACAGGTTCTCATGTGGAACACAGAGAGGGTGAAAGTCTCGGGGGAGGCGTCCAGCACCCCTGCTTGACCACAGCCAGTGGGATCAGAGCTGACAGGCACAAGGGCAGAAACTCAGCTCAGACCGGAGCACGCAGAAGGGGAGCTCACTGGCCCACGAAGCCAAGAAGTCCACACAGTTGGCCGCCTATCATCAGAGCTGGGCTGTCTCCACTGGATGAGTGTCATCCCCGGGGCGTGTGTGGCACCAGCATGGTGGTGCAGCCCCTGCACCCTCCGTGGCTCATCCTGACATTCCCTGCAGAGTGGCTGACACAGTACCCGAAGTCCCCGCAGGCATGGGAAATGCTAATTAGCTTGTGGCCACCACCGCAAACCTCAGTGGATTCCACAAAGTGTGGGTCCAAGAGTGGAGAGAGATGTGTTGCGCCCAAAAAAAATTGGAAGCCACTGCTGGCAGAAGGAGAAGTGGATTCAAGGGAGCCAGTGACCAGTGTCCACCCAAGAGCGGTGTTGTTCCTGCTGGTGGGCACTTGGGGAGCGAGCTGAGAGGAGGACAGACAGAGTGGGCACTGACTCTGTTCCACCTGACCCCCGGGCTAGGGAACAAACTCCCTGCCCAGGCCATTGCCCACGGCAGTGAGCTCACCTTGAAGTCAGGTGCCTGCAGGTAGAACACAATCCACAAGCAGGGGCAGTTGCCTGGTGTCACCCACACTGTACCTGAAGGGTACTAAGGTTCCAGAAAGCCAGGGGAAGAACCCTGAATGTTAGGGCTTCCTTTTAGACCTTTGTCCTTGATGCCCCCCTTTTCTTCTCCCAGCCCCATATTGCCCCCAAGTATGTTCCCAGAACCACCCAGCATCCATTTCTCTTGCTATTTGGCCGTCCGTGCAATGGGAAAGCAGATTCCCAGGTTCCTACACTGGAGAATGGCCTACAGCCCTACCAGAGCCCTGTTTATGGTTAGAGATGGCCCACAGGTGGGGACCCCCTCCCCACACACCTAGTTCTAGGCATATGTCTAGAACTTTATTTTCACCTCCCAAAGCCCCAAAGCCTTGTTGCAAGTGTGGCGGACTGCTAAGGAGAACCCGGTTTTGAGCTGCACAAGTGTCCGGAAAGAGGTGGTGTGGCCCAAGAGATGTGTGGCCACTGTAGACCACACCACACACCAGGCAAGTGGCCCAGAGAGAGGGAGCCTTGCGGACAGCCACCAGCCCTCAGAGTGCCTGGGGGCCCCTTCTTCTTTGAGGGGCCCTTGAGGGTACAGTGGACAGGTAGCCTGAGGGAGGGAGGAGAGGAAAGAGGACTCCTTCCCTCACTCAGCTGTCACTGAGGGCACCCGCAGGAGGCATGTCCTCAATTAGGACTCTGTCAGTCTGAAAAGGGTGAGGCAAGCTGTCAGCCTCGGGACGTACTGGGTGAGCAGGCCTGATGTCACCCTGCCTCTGCTCCACTTTCCCCTCCATGCTTGGGCTCCAGTGGGGGCCCCAGTGCTCTTTCCCAGCACTCCCCACTTGAGCCAATCACTGTGTCCAGGGGCCCCATGGGGCAGCGCTACAATGGTGGGACCCAAGAACAGTCCGGGCAGACGCCACCAGCAGCTGTCCCTACAGGGCTCGGCAGGGTCTGCACCCCAGAGGCTGGAGCAAGAAAGGCATCACAGGGAGCACCCATGAGTGCTGCCAGTCAAGCCCTTGTAGGGGACACAGAGTTCAGGAAGGGGCACGTGGAGCTGTCTCCTTGCGGTTTCTTCTCTCCTGGCCCTGACCTCACAGAGAGGGCCTGACAGGATGAGCACCAGAACCTGTCCCTGGTGAAGGAGGACAACACAGGTGTGTGTCTGGCCAGAGAGGATGTAGGGCTGAGCCACAGCATGGCCTCCTGCTCTTTCGCACACGGCCACCCCGCAGGCAGTGGGGCAGTTCACTCGCTCAGTGCTTTCCTTCCCATGTTGTATTTCCCAGTCTTCCCCAGCTCCTCAGGAGGTGTCAGAACAGCCTGCCAGCCCGACCTCACCCCTCGGTGGCCTCCAGGGGTCCCATGCACAGGAGGCTCCAACCGCTTCCCAGGGCCTGCTCAAACTCTTCCAGAGAAACACGCCCATGGAGGACCTGGGAGCCAAGGGGGTAAGCCCAGACTCGGGGCTCCACCACCATGCAGGCCAGATAGGGGGAAGGGCAGGGCCAGTCTGCGGCCCTTGGGTGACGATGTGCAGTGCCCAGGGACACCCTGAGTGACCTGTTCAGAAGTGCTGGTCATGGGCTTCAGGCCTCTGCAGGGGGTCCCGTGTCCCTGACGCCCGAGGGTGATGCCGTGCACAGCCCAGCCTGGGCTCGTGGCATTTTCGCCACAAGCCCTTGGAGGAGAGGTGGAGGGCCTGACACCTGCCTCAGCACTCAGGTCGCATTCACAGCCCCCCTGTCTGCTGTTCCCCCAGGCCAAGGAGAAGATGAAAGAGGAGTCGTGGCACATCCACTTTTTTGAGTACGGGCGCGGCATGTGCATGTACCGCACCGCCAGGACGCGGGAGCTGGTGCTGAAGGGCATCCCCGAGAGCCTCCGGGGGGAGCTGTGGCTCCTCTTCTCTGGTGAGCTGCCCTGGCCTCACGGCCCCACAGCCTCAGCCTCCATGACCCCCAGTTGGCCTCCTGAGTTGGCCAGGCAGGAACCACCAGCCTTTAGAGGGCGAGAACATGTCTCTCAGCTGTAATGAAGCTCATGTGTGCCAGGAGGGGCATTCCGGGGAGCAGAAACCAGTGAGGCGGTGCCTTCCCACCAGCAGTGGAAGGCAAACAGGCCTCCTGAGGCCTTCTTTCCTTGGGTCAGGCTCTGACAACATTCACACCCTTGGCCACTTGGATGGTTTCAGGAGGGCAAGTCAGCCATTTGAACTTGGGTGGGGTGACTCCTCTCAGAAGCAATCATGAGGGAAACTCTGCCTGGCACCTCTTAGTTGGCCCCAAAGTGCCACTACTCTTCTGCAGTGCATTGACGTCTCCACCCTGCCCTGTTGCCCTCGAAGTCCCGGGAGGGGAGGAGGAGGGAGACAGCTACCAGCTGTGTCTCCACAGGGGCCTGGAATGAGATGGTGACTCACCCTGGCTACTATGCTGAGCTGGTGGAGAAGTCCACAGGGAAGTACAGCCTGGCCACGGAGGAGATCGAGCGAGACCTCCACCGCTCCATGCCCGAGCACCCTGCCTTCCAGAATGAGCTCGGGATCGCTGCACTCCGCCGGGTGCTGACTGCCTACGCTTTCCGAAACCCCACCATTGGCTACTGCCAGGTACAGGGGCTTAGCAGGGTCCAGAGACAGCATCTCCCACCAGAAGCTCACAGGAGCACCTCCACATGGCTCTGGGCCTAAGTGATGGCCCCACACACCTGTGACTGTTCCCCCCTGTGCCCTGTTCCCCCCCCCCAGGAAGATCCTAATCACAGAAAAAGATGAAATTAGAAGCAGTGTTCATCGCTCACCTTATCCCCTTGCCACGTATGTGCTTCTGGTCTGGGTCCTGAGGCGTTTGATTGTTTTGTGTGTGTGGTAAAATACACATAACATAAAACTTGCCATCTTAATCATTTTAAGTTTACAGTTCAGTGGCATTAGGTATATCATTGTACAACCATCACCACTATCCATCTCCAGAACTCTTCTTCATCTTGCAAAATGGAAACTGTACCCATTAAACAGCTCCCCTGCTTACCCCTGGCAACCACCATTATCTTTTCTGTCTCTATGATTTTGACTAAGTACCTCATATAAGCATCATACAGTATTGTCTTTTTGTGACTAGCTTATTTCATTTGCATAATGTTCTCAAGTTTCATCTATGTTGTAGCATGTGTCAAAATTTCCTTCCTTTTTAAGGCTGAAGAATATTCCGTTGTATGTATACAGCGTGTTTTGTTTATCCATTCATCATCCATGGCCACTTGGGTTGCTTCCACATTTTGGCTGTTGTGAATAGTGCTGCTATGAGCATAGGTGTACAATATCCAAACCCAGTTCTTTTGGGCATTATACCCAGAAGTGGAATTGCTGGATCATATATTTAATTTTTTGAATTATGAGAGTTGTCATAGCATTTTCCACACGAGCTGCACCATTCTTCATTCCTACCCACAATACACAAAGGCTATAGTTTCTCGCCACCCTCACCAACACTGGTTATTTTCTGGTTTTTTGATAGTAGCCATCCTAATGGTATGAGGTGGCATCTCACTGCAGTTGTTTTTTTTGGGGTTTTTTTTTTGCGGTACGTGGGCCTCTCACTGTTGTGGCCTCTCCCGTTGCGGAGCACAGGCTTCAGACGCGCAGGCTCAGCAGCCATGGCTCACGGGCCCAGCCGCTCCGCGGCATGTGGGATCTTCCCGGACCGGGGCATGAACCCGTGTCCCCTGCATCAGCAGGCGGACTCTCAACCACTGCGCCACCAGGAAAGCCCCTCACTGCAGTTTTGATTTGCATTTCCAGGGGCATTTGATTTTAAATCTAGTGGGCATTTTCATGGCCAGGTCAGATGGCTTTCTGTTTCCCTATGACTACCTCTGGATTTCAGAGAAATCACTTTTCTGTAGGACCAGTGTTCTGCAGGACATATTGCCAGTGCATGGAAAACCAGTGTGCTGGCTCTAAATCATTTTTAAGATAATTTGCCACCATTGATGCTTTTTCTTACAAGCCTTGGTATCAGCTCAGGCTGTGCATGGTCACTACTTTGCCATGGCCTCCCTGCAGCCATGTGGCCATTGCATGCAGCTCACTCACACATCCTTCTGGCCCTGTGCTGCACCTGTGACACCAGACACCACCCCGAAGAAGGCCTCGCCTTCTCGGGTGTCCGAATGCCTGCAGGCCCAATTTGAGGAACTTGGTTGACCGTTTTGGTCAAATTGATTTCCTGCAAATTGTCTTTTGGCAAATTGCCCAGAGTTGGGTGGAAGAGTTTGTTGTTGCCAGGCCTGCTGGTAGAGGAGGATGCATAGGCCACTTGGTGGGTGGGGAGGGGGGGGACAGCTCCATGACACCCCCTACCTGTCTCTGTGCCCCTAGGCCATGAACATCGTCACCTCAGTGCTCCTTCTCTATGGCAGCGAGGAGGAGGCATTCTGGCTGCTGGTGGCCCTCTGTGAACGCATGCTGCCCGACTACTACAACACCAGGGTGGTTGGTGAGTGCCTGAGACTGGCAGCTCCCTGTGGGGGTGGCTGGCCTCCCTGGGCCAGGTCTACATTCAGCACATCCCACAGGTGAGCTCCTGGAGGCCTCGCAGCCTTGCCCCAGGCTGCAGACAGTCACAGGTTCTGCTCCATAGATTAGGAAGCTGCTAAATCTTCACACAGCTGAAAAGTAGAGAGCCAAACACAGACCCCAACCGTCTCTCCCAGACTATGCGATTCCCTAGGAGTTGCCGGCAGTGAGAGAAGAAGTTAGCTTGGGGCCTAAATTCACATCCATCTAACTCTTCTTAAACATTTTTATTGTGGAAAATTTCCAGTATCACAGCTAGAGCATATAGTATGCCCCCATATCAACTGTTAGGAACTCACAGCCAGTAGAATCTGTGTTATTAAATGGAAGTGCACTTGCAAATATATTTAATTACATATATAATTAAGTCTGTTATTCTAAAATGTCCTTCCCTTACTGTTTGCTTTTGGGGGTTTCCACTCTTGGGGTCCTTTAGAATTGCATCTGTTCACAAGCTTCAGGTCAGTACACACACAAGCTACTGAGATCACTGTTTACTTCTTTTTTTGGTTTGGTTTGATTTTTTTGTTTGTTTTTGTTTTTTTTTTTAATTTTTCTTATTATTTTATTTATTTTTAACATCTTTATTGGAGTATAATTGGTTTACAATCGTGTGTTAGTTTCTGCTTTATAACAAAGTGAATCGGTTATACATATACATGTATCCCCATATCTCTTCCCTCTTACGTCTCCCTCCCTCCCACCCTCCCTATCCCAGCCCTCTAGGTGGTCACAAAGCACCGAGCTGATCTCCCTGTGCTATGCAGCTGCTCACTGTTTACTTTTGATGCCCTAGAGAGAAATTAGTATTTCCCAAGAATAAAATCCAAGTATAGTGGAAGAAATCATTCTTTTCACACAGCGATTTGGAAGTAGTAGAAAGGAAACTTACATAATTTTTTCCGTTCTTGTTTTCTCCACTCCACCTGCCCCCCTCCAGCCCTCAGTTGTAAGCAGAGCTGGCTGGGGACCAGGTGAGCTTCTTGCAACTCAGACCCTGGGGTCCCACATGAGGGCCTGCCTGAGTCAGGGGTGTGAGCTCACCATTCAGACTCCTTCGTTCTCTCCCTAGGGGCCCTGGTGGACCAAGGCATCTTCGAAGAGCTCACGAGAGACTTCCTGCCCCAGCTCTCCGAGAAGATGCAGGACCTGGGGGTGATTCCCAGCATCTCGCTCTCCTGGTTCCTGACCCTCTTTCTCAGCGTCATGCCCTTTGAGAGCGCTGCGGTCATTGTTGACTGCTTCTTCTACGAGGGCATCAAGGTGATCCTGCAGGTGGCCTTGGCCATCCTGGATGCCAACATGGAGCAGCTACTGGGCTGCAGCGACGAGGGCGAGGCCATGACCGTCCTGGGCAGGTGACTGAGCTGGCCTCCCTCCTCCTGCTGGGGAGCTGGCCAGCACTGACTGCAGCACCCCACCCCTCCCCAGCCCTATGTGCTTCTTGGTCAGCATCCTGGGACTGTACCTACCAAGTGCCCAGACAGGGCTAGACCTGGGGATACTTCAGGGGGGCGGAGAGAGCCTCCTTTCTGGAAGGAGACAGAACAGTACTGGAGTAGTAATAAGTGCTGGGAGAAGGTAAAACAGGTAGTGGGCCAGAGCACACTGGACTGGAGGGCTTGGTGGGCAGGAGGCAGCTGGAACAGCAGGGCCTCCCTCCTCTAGCGAAGGTTGGGTGTCTGTTATTCCCACAAAGCACTCCTGGTCGTGCCTTTCCCAGCTCAGTAGCATCACTGTCGCCCCGTCACCTAGACAAGGGCCCATGTTGGGCCTACTGTAGCTGCTGAATGAGCTGATATCCACCAGGCACGCCTAAGGCCCAGGGTCATCCTGGCTGCCTTGTCCTCCCTCAGTCCCCGCATCCCATCCTCATGGACTCTCTCTGGGGTCCAGCCCCTCCCCTCAACCCCTACAGCCTCAGGGCAGACCCATGACACCCCTGCCAAGGGCCCTGTGTCTGCATCGTCACAGTTTTCCTTGTTCCAGTCTCATCCACCAGCATCCCACAGGGCTCTTCCTGATCAGAATCTGACCCTGTTCCTCCCTTGGGATATGGGAACTCCCTGTGCCACTGGTGGTTTTCTGGACAAAGGATCTAAGTCCCCTAGCCTGGCCTTCAAGACCTTTATAACCAGGTGCCTTCCTAGGGGGTGCTTACTGTGGCCCAGGCCCTGAGCTCTATACAGCCTTGCCAGCCCACGTGCATGTATTTGCCCAGCCTGGAATGCTCCTGGCCACCCGGGACAGCCAGGGACGCTGCCACCTGCCTGCCGAGCCAGCCCAGTGCTGACTGGGAACCTGTAAGGGTCCCAGGCTGGCAGAGTTGTTGCTTCTCTGCTATGGGCCATGCTAGCTCTTTGTCCTCAGTGATGACAAGATACTCAGCCCATGGCCAGAGTCGGCAAGTGGTTTTCATGCCCATCTCCCACACCAGACAGATGGGGCCCCTCCTTAGCAGCAGGGCCTGACCAGGAATGGTGCCGGAGCCAGTGGGTGTGTCCCACCTGAGTGTCAGGCCCAGCCAGAGAGCCTGGGAGAGTGTGAGGTCCTGGTTGGCCTAGTCCAGCCAAAGTCAGGCCCTGTCCCGAGGCTGTGTTCCTCGGACACCCCCACAGCAGGGCTCCTCCCTCGCCTTCCTCCTGGGACACTCCTTTGGTCCCTGATTCTTCCTGGCCAGTCAGGGAGTCCTCACATCTGGCCCAGTGACACGCCAGATGGAGGAAGCGTGTCATCCCTCCAGCTGGGACAAACCTCTCTCCTGGTTTGGTAGGGTCTGGACTTGTAAAGGTGCCCCCCGCCGTGAGACCCCAGTGGACAGCCTAGCTTTCTCAGAGTTAGTGCTCAAGCCTCTCAACTGCCTCCAGGGGGCATCCCTGATTTGCCAGGGTACCCATCCCTGATTTGCCTCTCCCCCTCCTCCCTGCAGTGGCTCATCTTTCTCTCTCCTGGAGGATGCCCGGCCCTCAGCACACTCACTCATTGATTGGGAGTCTGGGCAATTAGGTCTCTCCACATCACTTAGCCATGGGTAAGACACCCCTGTCACCTGTGGGTGATCTAGATTTCTGTCCTTTAATCCTTACAGATACCTGGATAATGTGGTCAATAAGCAGAGTGTCTCTCCTCCTATCCCACACCTCCATGCCCTGCTGACGAGTGGAGATGACCCTCCTGAAGAGGTGGACATCTTCGACCTCCTGAAAGTGTCATATGAGGTCAGCACTCACTGTGGGCTTCTTGGCCAGACCACTCCCTTGGGCCGTGTGGGTGCAGTTGGCCATGGTGGGTGGCTGTCCTCTGCTCTGTGGTTCCACCTTATCTCACTGAATCACCTCTGACTGGTAGAAATTCAGCAGCCTGAGGGCCGAGGACATTGAACAGATGCGGTTTAAACAGAGGCTGAAAGTGATCCAGTCCTTGGAGGATACGGCCAAGAGGAGTGTGGTACGGATGGGCCCGGGCTCCCATGGCCCCAGGGTGCAGGCTGGGAGCTAGGGTGGGGTTGGTGACCAAGTGGGCTGCTCCTGCCGAGCCATCTCCAGACTTCCCTGAGGAGCAGGGTGCAGGGTCCCCTAGCACTGTCTTGTGTGGGACTGGAATCCAGGAGTGAAGGGGCAAATTTAGGGAAGTGGGGAGAGGGCTGGTCACAATTTTCTGCTTGTGGATTGGTCACAGGGAAGCTTCTCTGATGCCTCAATGCCTAAAGGCTAAGCATGATCCCACTCTGGACTGAGCCCTCAGGCCTGGCTTTAACCCCTGCCCCTGGGTAGCAACACTCAGCCACCCAGCCCTCCATCCACTCAGCCCGCTGACCTCTGCTGCAAGCCTTTGTCCTCCTGTCTCTGGAGGGAGAAGTAACTGCGAAGTTCTAGGTCACCTTCCAAAGTGCCAGTGCCAGGGCCTTTCAAGGGATCCAGATAGCAGTGTCTTGATCACCGCCCCTCACCCTGTGTCCCTGACTGGGTGTTCAGAACAGAAAGGCACCCCCAGTGCCCACCAGGAAGGAGCTCAGGGAGTGTGAATTGAGTGACAGGATGGGTGATGAAGGGTAGGAGTGTAGACCACGCTTTCTTTCCTGAATGGACTACCCTCATGTGCTCGGCCAGCTGGCAACACCAAGAGGGCAGTTCGTGTCTTCGCCCTCATCCACATGGGGATTCTCTCAAAGAGCAGGAACTTGAGAATTCATTAATACATCCTGTTTCTCTTTCTTTCTAGGTTCGAGCTATACCTGGGGACATTGGTTTCTCAATTGAAGAGCTGGAGGACCTTTACATGGTGTTTAAGGTGACAGCCAAGAGCAAGGGAGGACCACTATCCCATCCTAGTCCCCTAAATTCATCCTCAGGGTAGCAGCCTCCTGCCAGGAGATAAATAGGTTTAAAAGCATCCTCAGATGCAGTTACTACAAAGTTCACATGGTAGAATTTAATCCTTCTTGGAGTTTAGGCAGGACACTCTTTTAAGTGGAAGAAAATCCACTCAAGTCAGCTTATATAAAAGGGAATGCATTGGCTCATGAAACTGAAAAAGTCTAGGAATGTACAGCTTCAGGCATGACTGGATCTAGGTGTTCCAACATCCTGGCAAGCTCCCCTACCTCAGATATCACCTGGACTGCTCTTCCTACGGAGTGGCAGGACTGTTGTCAGCATCTCCAAGGTCATCCTGTCCGCTCAGTAACCCCAGTGAAAAGAAAATTTTTCTTTCCAAGTGGTTTTAGCAAAAAGCCTAGGGTTAATTGTTGGAATGACTCAAGTTAGGTGCTGTGGCTACAGGAGGGTGTTTGCTGCTGACCCAAAACTGGGCCACATGCCCACCCCATGGCCTGAGGGTGGGACAAGAGGGGCTCTCCAGGAAAAGTTCAGGTGCTGTTAACAGAAGAAGGGGAAAGGGTGTGAAGAGCAGGCAGAAACAGCCATGTCTACAATGCCTTTCTGATCTCATTGTCGGGTCCCATCTGCCCCTCCAGCTGCCTCTGGTTCAACCCCCAAGATAACCACCCTGCTATGGCCTTAAGGTCAGAGCAGTCCAGCCAGTGCTGCCTCTCACTCGCTGTGGCCGCCGTGGCTGGCAGTCCTAGGGCCCTGTCTTGACTCACACGGCTATAAACTAGGGACTGATGGTACCAACGCAGGAGGTTCTGCGAGATGCTCTGTGTAGCCCAGTGCTCACTATCCAGGACTCTGCAGACTTGGATGGAGGAGGAGGGTGAACACACCAACCAGCCTGGTAATCCTAAGCACCCAGGGGCCAGGAGGCCAGGCCATCTCACCAGGCTATGCTCCCTGCAGGCCAAGCAGCTGGCGAGTCAGTACTGGGGGAGCAGCCGCCCTGCAGCTGTGCGTCGGGACCCCAGCCTGCCCTACCTGGAGCAGTACCGCATCGACACGAACCAGTTCCAGGAACTCTTTGCCAGCCTGACACCCTGGGCCTGTGGCTCCCACACATCCGTGCTGGCGGGGCGCATGTTTCGGCTCCTGGATGAAAATAAGGACTCGCTGATCAACTTCAAGGAGTTCGTGACAGGGATAAGTGAGTGGCTCCAGGGCCTGCAGGGGCCTTTCCGTGCCCACGCCCTTTCTGAGGAAGCCTCCAGATGCCAGCCCTGGCCAGTCTTCCCACTGCAGCGAGCTGAGGGCAGCCTGGAGCCCTTGACCCTTGATAAAGGAAGTGCAGTTTTCCCACTGGAGATACATGGAGATCCAATGGGAGCCCTCCCTCCCCTCCCCTCCCTCAGTCCACTGCTGGAGGCCGGGTCTGCAGGTCCCAGAGAAGGGGCAAGCCGGAGGCCTGGTGCTCACCCCCAGGGTCCTCTCCAGGAGAGAGTCAGGTGGTGAGGAGGGTCCCACCAGAACCCATTGGAAGGGGAGGTATTCGAATGTGGACTGGCTGTGGGACTCTTGTGCCCTTTTGCCAGCGTGCCTCCTTGCTGGCCTTCCTCCACAGGTAGGATGTACCATGGGGACCTGACAGAGAAGCTCAAGGTGCTCTACAAGCTGCACTTGCCTCCAGGTGAGAGCCTTCTGTCCCACTCCCCAGCAGGGGCTTCTCATGTGTCCAGAGCTGGAGGTGCAGCATTCCATGGCACAGGCCTCTGTGGAGTTCTGGGCCTTGCAGCAGCTAGGGTCCCAACATAGTGGAGGCTCGCCCGTCCTGACAGAGAGTGGAGGAGCCAGAGCATGGGGGCTGAGGCCCAGCCCAATCTTGGTCTGAGAGCAGGGCCATGACCTGAGTGACCTGGGAGGGAATGTGTGGGAGTCTCAGGGAGGAGTCTGCCCACAGGCAAAGGCCCAGATGGAGCACTATGCCACTCAACTAGAACACCCCCTCGTGAGGGGGACTCACAGGAGTGGATATTCAGGTTTGAATCTCTTGTGTTCATTAGCTTATCCTTAAGTCTCTCAAGGGTTCCTGTTTCTCACCAGAGGAGCGGCGTGGGGGTGCCAAGGCCAGGGAGCCCTGTTGTATGGCTGCTCTCCTCTGGCTTCTCTATCAGTGCCGGGCCTGCTGGGACACTGACAGTGGGTCGTCCGCAGTAGCTGGTCCCAAAGCAGGGGCTCTTGCTGCTTCATGAGCCTAGCTCACCTGGCTCAGCAGGGGTGGCCACTCAGAGTTGTCCAAGTGCAGTGGGGGAGGCCTTCCCCATTTTCACAGGAGGGAATTGAGACGGGCTGGTGAAAATTTGGCCCCAGGGGTTCTGCTCTGGGGTGGAGCTGTCCTGGGTTCCTGCTGTTGTTCATGACCTGCCCCTGGGAGTCAGCAGCTGCCTCAGAGTTAGCCTGAGTGATTTTTCATCCCAGAGGCTCTCACTTGATTGGCCTGGGGCGGGGTCCAGACTGTAGTTTTAAAGCTTCCCCCAGGGTTGTTCTCTGCATCCAGAGTTGGAGAGACAACTGCTCCTGACACAGATATTCTCACCTTTGGCTGGTTGTTCCCTGTAACGCAACAAGGAACACTTGCATGGAAAGACTGGTATAGGCCACCTCTCATTCTGCTGAGAGAGAGGCCTGGGCTGGGCAGGCCCCACTGTGCCGAGAGCCTGTCCATGAGGGCACATGCGGCCAGCGCTGCCACTTCCAAGCCACCCCCTGCCCGCCTTGCTTCATCTAGGGCTCTAGTGGCGACCCACACCTGCCACCTCCCCTTGTGCCACACACTGTTAAAACTCGCTCACTTCCTCCCCCTCTGTACAATGGGGAGAATAAGCCCCCTGCACAGAACCAAGTGGATCCGACACCCCAGAGACTACTTTATCGCAAAACGAGGCAGGCCAGTATGTGCTGGTGTGGAACAATGCCCAAGTGTATAAAGTGAGAACAAGTCACTTGTGCCTGGCCCGTCCCTGCATATGTACCTGCAGGAGCATAAAACATCCCAAAAGAATCCTCTGGGCCGCATCATCGTGGGGTAGGAGAAAGGATGGCCGCTCAACCAACTCCCAGCTGCACTGACTGGATTTTTATCTGGGATATGTATATATTACATTTTCAAACACAATGCACGAGTCAACCAGAATCAGTCGTCAGCTGTTACCACTGTGACCATCCACCATATTGGTGGGGCTGGGAGCTGTGGAGCACACAGTGGCAGTTGCAGGGAGGGCCTTTGTCCAGGACTCAGGGAGATTTCGTTTGGTGAGAATCATGTTGTTCCCTCCTGCCCTCACTCTTCTTTTGCTCCGAGCACAGCCCTGAGCCCAGAGGAGGCTGAGTCAGCCCTGGAAGCGACCCATTATTTCACTGAGAACAGCTCCTCAGAAGGTGAGCACTCTGTATACCACTGGCCTCGGACCCTGTGCCAAGCAACACTGCTGTGGGGCGCATGCAGGTGGCCTACGGCCCTCCATGGGCTCGGGGAGTGTGCTGCGTGGGGAGGTGCAGAGTGAGAGCCAGGGGAAGCTGCCTCACTCTCTAGGGCCAGGCCCCCCGGTGGTGTTCTCACTCCTGTTTCTCTTGTCTCTGCCTTCCCGGACCCGGGCTTCTCCCTCCCTCTGCCTCTGCTCCTCCTCTGCTGTCCCTTCCAGCATCTCCTCTGGCCTCCGACCTGGACCTTTTCCTGCCCTGGGAGGCTCAAGGTCAGTGCCTGGGGGGCAGGGGCGCCCCCTTTGCACTTGGCTTCCCCAGGGCCTTGGGTTTTATCTCCTGAACGCTCCCCTGCATGGTCAGGAGGCCTGGAAGCTCTTAGTTCCAGAGACGCCTCCTGTGTGGCTAAGTTCCGAGGAGGACCCAGAGCCAGCCGTGGACTGGGGTGGAGAGGGGCAGCTGCTATGCTTGCGTGAGGGCAGTAAATGAGGACACACAGTATAGTGGGTGTTGCACAGGCACTAGGGTGTCACCTCCCCAGGCACGTGCAGAAAGTATTCTGTCATCATGGTCATAGGAAAAACACAAAATGCTATCATTGCAAAGCTGTCATTGTGAAACAGACAAAGCACAGATGAGCAGAGGTGGAGGAGAGTGGTAGATGCTTTCTTTGGAAACATTTTCATGTTCCACACAACTTTTTTGTTGGGGAAAAATACGTATGTTGAGTGCCTATTAGAAGTCATCCCTGTGCTACACTTAAAACCTGTTGGGAGTACTGGGTACAGGGTGATGGGGCATTCTGGGCCTGGGATTTGGCAATCAAGCTGGTGGTATGTAATACACCTAGAAAACCAACCAAAACACTGCCCTATAATTTCTCATGGGGGATAGGTAATAATACACCAAGGATAATACACACTCAAAAGTGAAAGTAAAAGGTACTATCAAGATATTATCGGGCTTCCCTGGTGGCGCAGTGGTTGGGAGTCCGCCTGCTGATGCAGGGGACACAGGTTCATGCCCCGGTCCGGGAGGATCCCACGTGCCGCGAAGCGGCTGGGCCCGTGGGCCGTGGCTGCTGGGCCTGCGCGTCCGGAGCCTGTGCTCCGCAACGGGAGAGGCCACAGCAGTGAGAGGCCCATGTACTGCAAAAAAAAAAAAAAGATATTATCAAGACACCCAAAGCAATCTTGTTGACAGTGCCAAAGTCTTACTTAACTTGACTATGAAGCTTGAGGACCTTGATTTCAAGTATACAAACTAAAGAAACAGATGTATCTTCTGTTATACTCGAGCAAATCAAGGATGCTTTAGGCTTGTCCCAGGCACTTCCAGGAGATGCCAGGGACTCGGGGTACAGATCCCTGTCCTCAGACCTCACATAGCCTCCAGGCAGCAGTCCGTTCCCTGGTGAGAAGCCTGAGCCTGGAGCGCTGCGCCCTTCCCTGCCACCACATAGCTGCCAAGGGCCATTCAGAGCTGGGACGCTGCCGTTCCACCTGAGGTCCCCCCACCGGCCACATTCTCTCAGGGAACAGGTCTGCAAAAGCTGGGCAGCCTGCTCACCCCAAGTTTATGGTCACCATAAGGAGCACGGTGTATGCAGACTCCAGCAAACATGTCACTTTAAGAAATACAGTGCTGAGTGCAGGATTCACGTACATAAAATTCCTCATCAGCTAGTGTGGCAGTTGCAGGTTGAATTGGTAATTAGGACTCCCCTGAGTTTGACCTTTATCAGCAGAAACTATAGAAATCATTGGTCTCAGACTTCTTGCCCATAACGTGCGCCATCTTTCACTTAAGAACTGTGGTATGACTTGTATTCTTTTGAAAAGAGGATGTGAGGGTTCAGTGGCTCTGTGGTTCGGGTGGAGTGAGACAGCCCTTCTCAGAGAAGGCAGAGAAGAAGCAGCATCCAGGGCCAGGTCCGCTTCCGCAGGAGAGCACAGACTAGACCGACCACTCAAGGACCTTAGTGGTTTGGAGTCATAACAGAAGAATGTTCTTGTTCTTTTTATTCATCCCATTGTCCAGAAGCACTACAGCAGGAAGAGCAAGAGGGAGCTGGAAATGACATCCAAGAAAAAAGAAGAGGTGTATATATAGGCCAACATCTGCTGATGCTGGTAGAGGTCTCAGGGTGGGTGGGGTCTGGTTGCCCTGTCACTGCAGAAGAGCCCCGTACCCTGGGGAGATGGCAGATGCATGCCTGACACCACAGCTCTCCTTGAGGTGAATGCCCAGCCCATCAGCTGTGCAGCTGTCATCAGCCCCAGGCCTGAATCTCCTGTAGCTGTGAACACCCCCAGCCATCACCGCCTCCCTCTGGGGGTGCCTGCTTCCTGCCAGGACTCCTCTAGGTGCCCAGCTGGCCTCTCCTTCTCATGCCACCCTCTCTTCAGCCTCCACATGGTTCTGTCACCATCTTGGGGAAGACAGATTGGGGCTATCCTCATCAGCTTAGCTCAGACCTACTTCAGCATAACTTGGGAGACCCATGAGTGTTCTAGGGTATTTTTTCCATCACCACCTCCCCAAATGCCGGGGTGTTTTGTAATAGGGCCCAGGTAACTCCATGCCAGACAATACTTAAACCCACTTACCCCCTGCTACCAGCCCCCAGCCCTCTTTCTCTCATTTGACAGATGGAGATTAATTTTTTTCTCCCAACTCGCAGAGGAGAAGGGAACCAGCCCTCCTGACTATCGGCACTACCTTCGAATGTGGGCCAAGGAGAAAGAGGTTCAGAAGGAGACGATTAAGGATCTTCCCAAGATGAACCAGGTAGGCCCAGTCAGAACACGCAACAGATGTTTCTGGAAAATTCTGACCAAGGCTGAGCCCTCCCACCCGGCACCTCACCACCGTCCCAGCACCCCCTGGAATGTAGGGATTCTCCTGCCTACCTTTAGAACCTCTAGTCAGGCAGCAGTCAGGGACTATTCTAGTAGGACAAGGGGTCAGTTGCTTCAGGGCCTTGTCCAGAACACTCTGCTGGTGATGACTTGCTTTGGTTTAATTGGTATCCGTGAACCAGAGGAGCACTGGGGAAGGTTAGCCTCAAAAGGCAGAGACTTAAACCACCATTTATGAGACAACATCACAGCACTTCTGCTCCCTCCCATGCCCCGCTCGGAGCTGTGCACACACAGGCCCACTCAACCCACCACCCAATGTTTGTTTGCTGGTCTCTGCGTCAGGACCGTGGCATCTTGCCAAGGGTCTTACAGCCAGGACCACAGACATCTAACCAAAGGCAGCTGTTGAGCTGTAGCCTGACCACGGTCTGCTGTGCCCGAAGGGGAACCTTGCAATCTGGGTGCTCTCTCATCCACGGCCTGAAGAATGGGGTGCCCGTGGAGGGAGGTTTCATCCCATTCTCAGGCCAGGAAGCCTAAATATGGTTTCAGGACCTGGAACCTGACCTCTTCACCCTTCTCAACCAACCCAAGTTACCTTACCTTGTCATCACTCTCTAAAGAGCTTCATAAAGGAGAGTTGGAGGCGCTTCTGATTAAAGATATAAAAAACTCAATGTGATTCTAAAACACAGTGAAGAAGTACTTGTAGTCACTGGGTTTAGAAAGGTATGATAGAAATAGGTCTGTCTCTGCTAACAGAATGGACATAGAGACAGGGAGAGACTCCAAATGTTCCTATATGTGCTGAAAGAATGGCAGCTGGAAAAGAAAGCCCTTTCCCTCTCTGCACCTCAGTGTCCTAATCTGTGAAATGGACATAATCAAGACACAGGTGTACGGAGACAACTAATGGGACAACACCCTCACACCAATCATAATGGCCAGCACTGTGAGTCTGGATGATCTGAGGGCAATCTGACCCATTCCTTACCATCTCCCTGCCCTTTTTCTGTTTTTCCCCTTAAAAGGAGCAGTTCATAGAGCTGTGCAAGACGCTTTACAACATGTTCAGCGAAGACCCCATGGAGCAGGACTTGTACCACGCTATCGCCACGGTGGCCAGCCTGCTGCTCCGCATTGGGGAAGTGGGGAGGAGGTTCTCTGCATGGTCGGGCAGAGGAGAGTCCAGGGACAGTGCCCCTGAGGAGGGCGAGCCGCCAGCCCCACACCCCCCTCAAGACGTGGCCCAGGAGCTTCAGCCGCCAGCTGCAGGGGACCCCCAGGCCAAAGCGGGTGGAGACACCCACCTTGGGAAAGCACCGCAGGAGAGCCAGGTGGTGGGCGAAGGGGGCGGCGGCGAGGGGCGGGGCTCCCCCCCCCAGCCTCTGTCTGACGATGAAACCAAAGATGACATGTCCATGTCCTCGTACTCAGTGGTCAGCACGGGCTCCCTGCAGTGTGAGGACCTGGCTGATGACACAGTGCTGGTGGGTGGGGAGGCCCACAGCCCCGTGGCCACCACTCACAGTGGGGGTGCCGTTGATACAGACTGGTGCATCTCCTTCGAGCAGATCCTGGCCTCCATCCTGACGGAGTCCGTGCTGGTGAACTTCTTTGAGAAGAGGGTAGACATTGGACTCAAGATCAAGGACCAGAGGAAGGTGGAGAGACAGTTTAGCACCTCCAGTGACCATGAGCAGTCTGCAGTTTTGGGCTGAGGGCTCCAAGGCCTGGGGGCTGGCCTCTCTCTCCTCCCTCCCTCCCGTTCTGTTTTCTCTTGAAGGACACACCCCTCCAGTTCTCCCCAGAAGCAGTGAGTTGTAAATGGAAAGAAGGCTGAACAGTCGCAGTTGGGACCTAGGCAGGGGCTCCCCACCCCCTCGTTCTGCCTTGGACCTCCTGGCCCCTGCATAGTGTCAGGGGCTCTCTGATCTGCCCTTGCTTGCCCTGCACTGTGGCCAGGCCACACCCTGTCCTCCACCTCCTCTTCTGCAGCTGCGTGCTCCGGGGGCTTTCCTGCCACTTGGCGCCAGGTAGGGGGGGTCGAGTGCCTATTGGGCACCAAAGTGGTGAGAACTTCGAGATGCTCTCCAGAAGCCCCTGAGCCTGAGCTTCTGGCTGGGGGACATGGGCAGAAAGCATCTGCTGCACCAGGGTGGGTGCCGCCTGCACAGGCGTTACTCTCAATTCTCTTTCAGCTCGTCATCCTCACCATTAACCTTAAAAGCATATCCCTCAGGTCCTGATATATTTCCTTGTATTCATTTCAGTTGGCTAAAAATCACACTATGCTCAATGCCTTAATAAATCCCTGAAAGAACTAAAAACTACACTGTGTATAGAGAATTAATGTGACCCTCAACCACTGCTTTGGCCTCCTGGCTTCTCCCCAGGCAGGTATGGGGCCCAGGCCATATTCCAGAGGTTCCCAACACTTAGTCTCTCACAGGAGGTGGGGGTTCAAGACCCCTAGGGAGGATGGGGACATGGAAGCTGCTGATGCAGGCTGGGCAGGGCCTGTGAAGACCTGCACCAGCAGAGGAAACCTGCTCCGCAGGTATAAACAGCCTGGGTCCAGATGCAGGACATGTGTGCTCAGGCCTGGGCTGCAGCAAGCCTTTGGGTTCAGAAAGCAGACTGTGGGGACACGGGCAACAGGCTGAGCCATGAGGACCCCTTAGCTTTGCAGCAGGAGCTGATCATCATGTCCAGCGTTTGCCCCCAACACAGGACCACTCTTATTTGTACTAAAAGATAACATCTCTGTGGCTGTTGTTTGGTTTTAAACTTAATAGCTTTATTGAGGCAAAACTTACATACCATAAAATTCACTTGTTTTAAGTTATTATTCAATGATTTTTTAGTAAACTTAGAGTTGTGCAAACATCACCACAATTGAACTTTAGAGTATTTCCATCACCCCAGAAAGATCCCTCCTGCCCATGTGCTGCCAATCTGTGTACCCTCCCCCAGCTCCAGGGAACCACCAATCTATTTTCTATCTCTTTAGATTTTATGGATGGTTTTAAAATAATCTCCGTGATTTTACCTTTACAACTGCTGAGTCACTTCTCGATAAATGCAGCAAAACAACATCAAGGAAACGGAACAGCTGTTTTCTTTCTTAATGACAACAACAACAAAAAGTAATTTCCTTTCTAGTATTTACACAAACTGACTACATGCTTTGTCATAAATTAATTTCAAAGAATTTATTGCTAGAAAGCCTACATTCTTGGGACTTCCCTGGTGGTCCAGTGGTAAAGAATCCGCCTTACAATGCAAGAGATGTGGGTTTGATCCCCAGTCAGGGAGCTAAGATCCCACATGCTGCGGGGCAACTAAGCCTGCCACCACAACTACTGAGCTTGCATACCTCAACTAGAGAGCCTGTGTGCTGCAAACTACAGAGCCCACGTGCTCTGAAGCCCGCGCATCCTGGAGCCCGCAGGCCACAACAAGAGAAGAGAAAACCCGCAGGCCATACTAGAGAGATGCCAACGCGCCGCAACGAGAGATCCCGCATACCTCAACGAAGATCCTGTGCTCCACAACTAAGACCTGATGCAGCCGGAAAAAAAGACTATGTTCTTGGTCATAATAAAATTAAGTAAAGATACACGTAAGAATTACACAAAATTGGCAGAGTCAAATTGATTGTAATCAATTAGATTTAAATGACTTGGAATTTTAAAATATTTATTTGGCTGCATCGGGTCTTAGTTGTGGCACGTGGGATCTTCTTTGGGACATGCGGGATCTTTCGTTACAGAGCGCGGGCTGTTCGTCGCGGCGCACGGGCTCAGTAATTGCAGCATGCAGACTTAGTTGCCCTGTGGCATGTGCGATCTTAGTTCCCCGACCAGGGATCAAACCCTTGTCCCCTGCATTGGAAGGCAGATTCTTAACCACTGGACCACCACCAGGGAAGTCCTGGAATTTAAATAAATGTTTTATATGCCATGTAGAAGTATAAATTTGAGAATATACCAAAGAAAGTAAACAACATAAAAGAGGACACTATCCTTTTTACGTGATAAAAGAAGGTACAAAAATGTACAATAAAATAGTACTTTCATCCATTAATTATTTAACCTCGCATGATAAAATGTTTAACAAGAGCAGTAACACTAAATAATAAATGGATAATAAAGTTTTAAATATATTTGTGTTCTGTAAGTAAACATAATTGTATATTTTAAAACTCCTTACCAAGTGATATGTTGTACCAAACCATTCAAGTCATTCTTATAATTTCCAAGAAAAAAAATACGTATATGAATTTTTAAAGGATTACAGAAAGGAGGAAAAAACAGAAAAGTAGAAAAACAATTTTTCCTTGTATTTAAGACTACTAATTATTTTGGTGTTTTTCCCCTATATTTGTCTTTTTCAAAGTTGAACTCATACCACGTGTGAAATTTTTATTCTTCTCTTTTCATTAACCACAAAACATTCTTTGTAGTTGCCAGAAGCTCAGCCGCAATGAGACACGTAGAGATAAACAAAAACCACCCAAATGAGAACAGGGACCATTTATCCAGAGCTTGCTATAGAAAAGAAGTCAGCCACCATTACTTGCGTTTGGCAGAGACTAAAATGTAGTCAGAAGAGTGGGAAGGCCTTATGGTGAAAGCAAGGGAAGGCTTCAGGTGTGCTCTGATTAGAGGCTGCTAGTGGGGAAACAGGCTGGCTAACCTGAAGCAGGATGTTTTCTGTAATTGGTTTGGGGAGCATAATTGGCATTCTCTTGGTTGGTCCTGAGATGAAGTGGGGAGGTGCAAAAAAGGAGGGCAACTGGCAGTCATTGCCCAAGTCCTGACTGCTGCAGAAGTTGTGGTTTGGGGGGTGATGAGGGAGTCTGGTCACTCTCTGCATATTCAGTCTCAAACATAATTTTTTAAATTAATTTGGTTTTTTCTAATATATGCTATTGTGCAAAATTTGGAAAATATTAAAAATTTTAAACCATTTATAACCCTTGCCCGTGCACATCTGGAAATAAATAATGCCTGGTTTTACCTAACTGATATCATGTACACTTTGTAACCTCCTTGCTTCCCAACAATACACATGCCAGCATTTTCACTCCAAACTCTTTGTAATGGACCTGCATAATGGTCCATTCTTTAGAATACTTATTTCCATTTTTTCCTGTTATACTTCAGTTAACACTACTGCATAAACAATAAATCTGCGTGATTCAGATTATTAAGATAGCGATAACTGCCAGATTGTTTTTTCCTTTTACCGTTCTGTCAGCATCCTTGTCAGGATTGGGCGTTTTAAATTTTCTTTTAACAAGATTATTTATGTTGTCAGGCACGTGGGAATGTCTTGGCGGGCTGGCGTTAAGGTGAGGTTGGGACATGAGGGGTGCAATATTTTTCCTCTATGCCCAGACTGGGACTTGGGCTCCACCTTTTAGAGTGGGTCTTCCTCGGGACTGCAGTAAGGACTGATTTCATTTTCAACCGCCAGGCGTCTCCGTTTCCCTCTCTGAGAAGCGTAGGGTTGGTGAACTGCCTATTTTCCCAGGATTCTCGGTGCTCCGGCTCAAACGTTAACTAACCACCTCTGACCAGAGGTCCTGAAAATGCCTACCGTGGACCCTAGGGAGTGGGCCCGAGCAGGGAGGCGCCCTCCGGCTCCCTCTCCCCGACTTGAAGAAGCAGAAGAAACTGTGCCAGCAAAGGCCGGACCCCCAGCGGTGGCTGGAGACCCAGCCCTTGCAACTTCAATCTTCCCAGGGAGCGCAGGCAGAAACGCTGGTTTAGATAGAGGCGGGAACTGCTTCGGGCTGAGACAGACAACCAGTGACCTGACGGACGCAAAGCCCAAACAACGCCCGACTCGGCAGCAGTGATACGGCCCGAGTCCTGAGGTCGCCCGGGGTCCCAGCTGACAGCCGACTAACGCTGAGCTTTCCGATGGCCCAAGTGCGCTTTAGGGGCGAAGCTCGAGTGGGCGGGAGTGCAGGGCGCACGCTCTCCAGGGGCGGTGCCTGAGGCCAGAGGGTCCCGAGCGCCTGAAGTGGGCGGAGCCAGGGCGGACAGGGTAACGCGGCGCACGCGCGGCGGCGACAGCCGTCGTAATGGCGCCTCCGCAGCAGGTTCGGGTGTTGCGGTGCTCCTGCTGCCGCCTCTTCCAGGCGCACCAGGTGGGGCCTCTTCCTCCTCAGAGCACGGGGATGGCGGGCAGGACGAGGTGGGGTCGCTGGGGGGCCAGACCTCCTCCCCCAGGCTGGGCGCCGTCTCGTGCGGTTGCGGGGTGTGTCTGGGTCCCGGACAAATCACGATGTCTGTCCTGAGAACTAGGTTTTATTGATGTCGCTTCTCGATAACGTTGTTCTGGGCTTTTTTCGTTTTTTGCTTGGTGGTTGTAAGATTCGCAGAAACCAGCCAATGGTTTCTGCCGAGGCGGCCTCGTGAATTCTATCTGGCCGGTGGTCGGGCACACCAGGTTGAGGGTAGAGGATAGCCTCCTTTATGCAGAGCCTAGCCCCCAAAATGGCTCCTTCTTCATTTAAGTGCAAGGGAAATGATAGTTTTAAAAACTGAGGCACGACTGGGCACCCCTGCTGGCACTCTTTGGCTCTGCCCGTAGTGAGGGCCTCGACGCCTATTCAGAGTGTAAATAATCTCGCGCCTTTAAACAGGATAATCGAAGTTTCTAAAACGTAATGCTTCCCTGACTCAAAACGTAAAATAGGGTATGTCACTTAACCTGTTCTTTCCTGAATCACGTTCTGTCTCCCTGCTTGATGCCGTCAAGGTTGTCATTGTATCCGCTTCTGGTAGTCCCCTGCTAATCTGCTGTGCCCTGAAGAAGGGTAGCATCAAATTGCATACAAAATGTATGTTTAAAAGCCAGTAAGAGGCTGGGTATGCACCTGTAAGTTCGCTGTGACTTTGTAAGGGTCATTTTAGGGGCTTAGAAACTTTTTACTTACTTCATTTTTTTGGTTCTAGGAGTTGAGAATAAATGGGAATCATTTCCACTTTTAAATTATTATATATATAATGTAGTTCGTGTTCTCATGGTCATTTTCAACTCTGAAAAGTGATTTGAAGCCAAGTGGGAAAAGAGGGTTAACAGTTTAATTCCAAGTCGGCTGTGTATCAGGCAGTTTCACACATCTCATTTAATTTCAACAGCTTCTGAATTCTGTATCTTCATTCCCCAGAGCTAGCCAGTTACTGTGTGTCCTTCCAGAGCTTTTATTATTTTTTTAATGCATTTCTTACTTGCATGTGTACCTGTAGAAGAGACACAGTATTTTTATGGTGTTTGAAGGTAGATGCTGAGAAGTAGAATCTTAGGATATACCCACTTAAATTTGTAGTAGATGCTGCTTGTCCTCCTTAGAATCCTTTTAGGTACGTCCCCAAGAGCCCTGGTGGTTTTTGTATTAGGGTCATATTAATCATGTTAATTTTTATGAATCAACCGAGACATCTTTGTGATGTTAAGCATGGCATTTCATTCCATCTCTTAAAACAGTTTTGGTGCCCCTTGATAACATTTTCTTTGTTGCCTTTACAAATGGATTTATTTCTTTAATTATCTCTTCTAAGTAGATGTTTGCTTATAAGCTATATTAATTTTTGAAGATATATTAATTTTCTGCCTAGCCCCTATATTAGATTGTCTTACTGGTTTTAGCAGTTTTTCATTTAGTTATCTTGAGTTTTAAAGAAATAAATCATATCATCCATAAATAAGGATAGTTTTTTTTTTCTTTCCATTTTCATACCTCTTGCTATGTTCTCTTTTCCAATTCCATCAGTTAGTACATCCAGAAAAAAATGGTAAATAATAGTGCAGATCCTTGACTTGTTCTTGACTTTCATGGGAATGCTGGTGGTGATTCTGCAGCTTTAGAGCTAGATGTAAGGCATTTTATTATGTTAAGAGAGAATCCATCTAGTCAGATTTATCAAGAATTGAAATGTCATGGAATTTTTTTTGAGAATCACATATAGTAGAGATCTAATTTGATTTCGTTTCATATGGATAGCCAGTTTTCCAGAAGCGCTTATTAAATAGTCTCTTCTTTTTTCACCTTTATAATATACTAAATTTTCATACATGTGTTGATTTGTTTCTGGACTCTTTATTCTTTTCCACTGATCTCTTTATTATTTCTGATCTAGTTCCACCTGTTTCAAATAATTACTTTAGCTATAATTCTGAAATTTCATTGTAGGTGAAAAAGAGTCTCAAATGGACATGCAAAGCTTGTGGAGAGAAGCAGTCATTTTTGCGGGTGAGTCCCAAGCAGCAAAGTGTCTAATACCCATACCAGGAAGCAGGTGGGACCCAGCCCTGCAGAAACATATTTCTCATGGAACCCAGTGTTCCATTATTGGCTCAAGTTCATTGGATATAGCGCTCCTGCTCCCTAAGATCATCTTCCTTCAGGAAGCGAAATGAATGGAGCAGTGCCTGGAAAGTTACCTTCCTTTTTTTATTCAGTCAGTAAGTATTTACTGAGTAACTTCTGTATGCAGGCATGGGACACAATGGAAGGTAAGACCATGTTGTTAATTGCCTTCACCGATCTGCTGTTGTGGAACAGGATGAGAAACTAAAACACACACATGTAATTTAAAACTAGACTGAGCAAAATGAGAGGAAAGTACAGGGGTCTGTAAGAAGATAACTGAGTAATCAGACCTAACTGGGGATGGGCAGACAGCTGTTGGTAGATGCAGGGGTGTGAGAGGGGGCAGGCAGGTTGTGAAGGTAGTCAGGAGATGAAAGAGCATGTGGACTGAGGGGAGCATGTTGTAAATGCTCTTATTAGCCCAGTTTTTTCACCCAGCATCACAGTTCTTTTCAAGTCCATACTTACCGACCCACTTGATCTCTAATATCACAGGGTCCTCATTGAGCCCCTTGTTCACCTGCTCCAGCCCTTGATGCCACCTCTCCAGCCTCATCTCATCATTCTCCTCCTTCAGCCATAGGGGCTTTTCCTTCTGACCTTGAAACAATCCAAATCTGCTTCCCTCTTAGGGCCTTTGTGCTCATTGTTGGGGCTTCCCCTAGTTAATCTCATTACCCTGATCAGAAATATAGGCAAGTATGTTTATGTGAGTATTGTCCATCTGAGACTGTAAATTCTATGGGAAGAGAGGGTTTGCCTATTTTACTTATATACCCTTTTTAAAAAAATTGAAGTATAGTTGATTTACAATATTACGTTAGTATCAGGTGTATAGCAAAGTGATTCAGTTATACATATTTTTTTTCTTATTTTCCATTATAGTTTATTATAAGAAATTGAATGTAGTTCCCTGTGCTATACAGTAAATCCTGTTGTTAATCTATTTTATATAGTGTGTATCTGTTAATCCCATACTCCTAATTTATTCCTCTCTCCCTCTTCCCCTTTTGGTAACCATAAGTTTATTTTCTATGTCTGTGTGTTTCTTTCTGTTTTGTAAATAAATTCACTTGTATTATTTTTTTAGATTCCACATATAAGTGATATCATATAATATTTGTCTTTGTCTGACTTGCTTCACTTAATACGATACACTCTGGGTCCATCCTTGTTGTTGCAAATGGCAATTATTTCATTCTTTTTTATGACTAATATTCCATTATATATATGTGTGTGTGTGTGTGTGTGTGTGTGTGTATACACACACACACATACATACCCCCCATATCTTCTTTATCCACTCATCTGTTGATGGACACTTATATACCCTTTTTTGTATGTTTTGCTGATGTACTCTTGGCACCTAGCACAGTGCCTGTCACATAGTCAGTGCTTGCTCAAGTAATGTTTGTTGAATGAGTTAAGTGACAAACCCCACACTGATGGGCATTTAGGTTGATTTTAGTTTTCATTGTTATGAACAACTCTGCAATGAAGCTTCTTACAAATACCTCTTTCTTCACTTGACCAATTATTTCCTTAGGACGAATTCCTAGAAGTTAAATCAGAGGAATTCTTTTGACCAAGGTTCTTTTAGTTGCAAATAATAGGAAAAAAACACTTCAGCAAAATTTAAAATGTACTGGCAAGGTAATGGGGTATCTTGGGGGGATCCAAGGAAGAAGCTTCATTCTTGACCCCTTGAAGAACCAACCCCAAGAACTGAAAAGCTGCCAACAACACAAGCATCATCTTTTCCCTCCCTTCTCCTCCCTTCACCCAGTTTCTCCCTATACCTTCCTCCCTCTCTCCCTATCTCCTCTCCTTCCCTTCCTCTCTGTTCCCAGTTCAAAGTAACATACTCCACTCACAGACCACAGAATCTCATTTCAAACCAACTGGAATAGCTGAGTCCCAATTATAAACTCCTGGGAGAAACAATCTGGTTGACCTGTTGATTCAGATGTCCATCACTGGTCCAGTCAGTTGGGATGGGTGGGAGTGGGGACAATTTGGTCATCTGTCAGTAAGTGTAGCTGCTGAGGCCTACCTTGAGATTGGGTCTCAGAAGGCAGGGGCTGGCTCATAGCTAGTGACTTCTGCTTGTTTTAGATGTCAGCATGTATTTCTGAATTCCTGAGGAAGCTTTGCCTTCCTCTCAGCACCCCCATGCTTGTGCAGTGGTATATGGCTTATGACTGACTAGGCCACAGTAATGAACAGACACCAAAATTGTGGTGGCTTAACGCAATAGAAGTTGTTTCTCTTGCTCTTGTAACACTCCTGGGAGAGATTGAGATCAGCAGGACAGCTGTCCTTGGTATGGTCATCCGGGGACCGAGGCACCTGTAATCTTGAGGTTCTGTTATTCCCTGAGGCTTGTCTCCCACTGCCTCTTGCCCCGCAAAGGAGCAAGATCAGGGAGGAGCTACCCAGGAAGGATCTGGAAGTGGCTTACATTCCACTGGGAAGAACCTAGTCTCATGGCCACACCTGACTGCAAGGAAGACTGGAAAATGTAGTCTAGTCTGCTCCCAGATGAGGGGAGAATGCATTTCAGTATTCAGGCAGCAGTCTCTGCTATGCAGGAGAGCATGCACCCTACCAGTTATGCCAGATATAAGTTGTCAGTCATTTTAGAATTTTGTTTTTCAATTTATTGTGTGGACGTATAGTTGAGTTACAATGTTGTGCTAATTTCTGTTGCACAGCAAAGTGATTCAGTTTTTTATTTACATATATGTGTGTGTGTATATACACACACACACACACACACACATCCTTTTTCATATTTTTTTCCATTATGGTTTATCACAGAATATTGAACGTAGTTCCCTATGCTATACAGTAGGGCCTTGTTGTTTATCCATTCTATATATAATAGTTTGCATCGCTAATCCCAAACTCCCAATCCATCCCTCCCCCAGCCCACTCCCTCTTGGCAACCATAAGTCAGTTATCAGTCTTTTTAAACTTTGCCTTTCCCCTCTCCAGTTCCTTTCCTCCCATTCTCACTTGAACTTTCCCCAGACGGGATTTCACTCCCCACCAGTCCGCTAAAATTGCTCATGTCAAAGTCAGCAGTGGTCTCTATGTTGCTAAAAATAATGGTTGGTTCTCAGTCCTCAAGTGACTTGACTTATTGGTGGCATTTGTCAGAGTTTGTCACTTCCTCCTCCTTGAAGCATTGTCTTCACTTGGACTTCTAGTCATCCTGCTCCTGGTTTTCCTCCTGTCTTCCTAGCTGGTTTCAGTCCTCTTTGCTAGTTTTTTCCCATCTCCTCACCTTCTAAACCTTAGAGTGCTCTGGCACTCAGTTTTTGGACCTCTTGTCTAGCTACACTCATTCCCTTGGTCGTCTGAGATGAGACAATCTGACAATTCTCAAATGTCCATCTCAGACCCCAGACCTGCCCCTGAACTTGTGTATGCTTCCAACCAACCGCTCTCCTGGATATCTAAGAGGCATCCCAAACCTGTATCCCAAAACGAAGCCCTCACCTTACCCTCACCAACCTGCTCTTCCCACAGTCATCCCCAACTCTTAAGTGCCAAGTCCCTCTTTCTAGTTGTTTGGGCTAAAAACCTTGAACTCATCCCTGACTTCTCTTTTTCTTTTACACTCTTCATCTGATCCATCAGCAAATTTTGTCAGCCCTACCTTCAGGATATACCCAGACTGTGCCCACTTGCTACCACAGTGGTCTGAGTTGCCTCAGTATTTGCTGCAACCTCCTGACTGGTCACCTGCTTCTGCCATACAGTCTTAGCACCACAGCTGCAGGGTCCTACTGAAACATATGTAAGATCATGTCAGACCTTCCAGGTTAGAGCAACATTCATGCTCCTACAGACAGGGCCAGGTTGGGGCAGGGGGCCCCTTTTCAAAAGCAGGAAAAAAAAATGCTATTAAAGGTACTAGAATATTAAGCTTTTCCTTTCTTTCATGGTCTCCTGACTTTTCCTGATGTCTTTTATTTACTGGTTTTAAAATTTACTATTTAATATCTTCCTGTGTCAAGAAAAACTAACATTTAAAATTGTGCAACACCATTTATATTGTGCAACACCAGTTATAAATGCAAAGAGCATTTAGTACATATGTGGAACATATGCAGAATAATATAAGAGCATTTGGTGTATACGTAGAATCATCAGAATTGCACAATTTGTATTTTGTAGCTCATACATGCCTACATATTTCATTCCTACCAGAACAGTGGAGATGTTGCACAAAATTAACTATTTTTACTTCACTGCTTGATACACGCACATTCTACCCATACTGTCAACCTTTAGCTCACTGATGAGTAAGGAATACTGAGAGGAAAAGGAACTGGGAAAGATTGCCCTATCTTTCACTTTTTTTTCTGTGTTATTATTTTCAGCATAGGCTATTCCAGGGAGGTAACAGGAGTAAGAAAAGATATGACACGTTTCCTTGGTTGTTCATGTTTTTTCGAATACCCTTGCCTCCTTTCTGCAACTGAAGCAAGTTCTGATTCCAGTGGAAAGCCTGGCCTCTCAGGCTGAGGTTGCCCCCCACGTACTTTTGTTGTACTTTACTTTGTGTTGCTGTAAAGAAAGTTCTAATGAGGAAAAAATAAGTAATAAATGTTCTCTTTTTGGGAAAAAAAAAAGACTTGTACACACCGTCTGAACTTGGAGTCTCACTGAACTCCCACACCTTGTGAGTTCACTGCAATTCTGTGCTCCTCAGTCATCAGGCATGCTGTATGTAAAAGCAGTGACGAGAAACAGTGGACACATTTGGTGTCCACGACTCACAAACATGCTTCATTATATCATCAGACTTTACTTACACAATACAAGTTCAATGATTATTAAGAATTTCAAGATGGAGACAGCAGAGCAGATCTCATGCCTATAAGGCTGACTCTGCCTGTAACGGGGCCTACACTCTCAAACCTCATCTCCTACCATCTTCTCCCTAGGCCATTCAGCTCCAGCCACTTGGCCTCCTCACCGTTCCTCCAAAATGCCAGGCTCAGGGTCTTTGCACTCCTTTCCGTTTCATTGCTTCTGCTGAATGTTCTTCCCATATATATCTACATGGCTTGTTTCTGCCTATCTTCCTATTTTGTGCTCAGATGTCACCCTCTCAGTGATCCACTCCTTGACTTCTTGAACACACATATAAAATTGTCTACTGTGTCCACACTCTGCCCCACCCCGCTTCATTGCCTTACTTTCCTCAGAAGCACTTCTCACCATCTGATGGCCATATAGGTGACTTATGTGCTTATTATCTGTCTATTCTCACTACAGTGTGAGCTCCGTAATGACAGTAGTGTTTGTCCATTCCTGTATTGTGTTGTCCTTACCTAGTTCAGGGCCTGGCACATAATAGGTGCTTAATAAATATTTATTGAACAAATGAGTGACTGCTAAGTGAAAAAATGTATCTCATCTATTTTATATTCTTTTGATTATGAGTGAGTGAGGTGTATCATTTCATATGTTTATTGGCAATTTGCATTACTTCTCTTCTGAATTTCTTATGTTCATTAACCAATTTGTGTGGGATTTTGGGTTGAGTTTAGCTTTGATATATAAAGTTCAGGGTGATGGTGGGCAGCCAGATAGACTGAAACTATTAGTCCCTGAGACTGTTAGTTTGTAAATCACTGCAGAAACAGCAATCATTGTTTGGGTTCCTGCATGGTGCTTTGGGCCTTGCGAAGTACAGTTTTATCCTCCCTGGGTTGCAGCTCTAATGGATCTATTTCTCAGCATTCTATCAACACTTTTTAAACTTGATATTTTTGTTTGTTTGTTTGTTTCTCAGGCTTACGGTGAGGGCTCTGGTGCTGACTGTAGACACCATGTCCAAAAATTAAATCTGCTGCAGGGACAGATTTCAGAGATGTCACTCAGGTATAGTAGTTTGAGGGAGGCATGGTTATCTTGCCCTGTTTTTATCTTGAGTGGATGGTGGAAGTCTATGACGGAGAAATCCCTTAGAGTTCCATGTCTTACAATATGGCAATTAGATATTGAACAATCTTCCCACTGAAATTAATTTAAAATGCCAGCCACAGTTTTTTTTGGGTTTTTTTGTTTTTTGTATTTTTTGCAGTACGCAGGCCTCTCACTCTTGTGGCCTCTCCCGTTGTGGAGCACAGGCTCCAGACGCGCAGGCTCAGCGGCCATGGCTCACGGGCCCAGCCGCTCCGCAGCATGTGGGATCCTCCCAGACAGGGGCACAAACCTGTGTCCCCTGCATCAGCAGGCGGACTGTCAGCCACTGCGCCACCAGGGAAGCCCCCAGCCACAATATTTTAAGTGCACTGAAGAGATGACAAGAAGGTAAGTAACCATCAGAGGCCAAAAATGAAGCAAAAGCCAAAATCCAGAGAATAAGCAGCTGGGCTGCTGAGGCGATTGAAACCTGTTGCCCTTCAGCTTCCATGCATCTGGGAGGGAAGCAGGAGACAAAGACAAAGCCGAGGGTCTGTTTACTGTGGGAAGGTCCATAGGAGACCACCACATAAAGCTGAGTCCCCAAAGGACTACACCCTCAGCATTCAAATGAACTAGAAATGCACCCCCTCCATAGCAGGGACCCAGCCTGTGTTGACCTTGGCACTGACTGAAGAAGGGAAATACTGCTCCAGGATTTTATAAGCACAAGGAATCTGTCACATGGCCTTTAAGCCTTTTACACATGCTGTGTGAAAAGTCTCAAGCTGAGAACTTATTTTTAAATTGTCCCAGGAACAGAGGTAAATGCAGCTCCTTTTTGGAGCAATACATCTTCAACCCAGGTATCAAAGAATTCCTACATATAAAGTTCCAAGGAGCATATACCCAAAGTTAAAAATCATTTAACTTAAGGAAGTATGTCACCATGAGCAAAAGACAGCAGAAATGACAGAAAAGTCAGACCCAAAAAGAGTTCAGAATACATAATATTTCATGTTTAATATATTTAATGAAATTAAAAGAGGGGGGTTGCTAATATGAGGAGCAAGAGACTTTAAAAAATAACTAGTTTTTTAAAAAAACCAAAAAGTTTGTAGAAATGAAAAGTATAGTCATTGAAATTAAAAGTTTAGTGGACCATTAAACAGATCAAGTGCAACTGAAGAGAGAATTAGTGAAATGGAAGACCAATCTGAAGAAATTAATCAACAGTGCAGCAGAGAAAGACAAAAAGGTGGAAAATGTAAGTTCAGAGACATGAAGGATACAGAGAAGAGTTCCAGCAGGAGATAATAAAGAGAAGGGGACAAAGGCAATATTTGCAGGGAAATGAACAGAACATTTTCCAGAATCAAAGGGCTTACATTCTTAGATTAAGGAAACACAGTAAATCCCAAACTAGATGAAAACATTGTGTATGTAGGAAATCCTAATGAGCCTATCTATACAAAAGCTACTAGAACTAATAAGTTAATTTAGTAAGATCACACGGATACATGGTCAACATACAAAACTAAATTTTATTTTTATATAAATGCAGTGAACAGTTGGAAAATAATTTTAAAAATCAAATACCATTTATAATACCATCAAAAAATAAAGGGGCTTCCCTGGTGGCGCAGTGGTTGAGAGTCCACCTGCCAATGCAGGGGACACAGGTTCGTGCCCCGGTCCAGGAAGATCCCACATGCCGCGGAGCGGCTGGGCCCGTGAGCCATGGCCGCTGAGCCTGCACGTCCGGAGCCTGTGCTCCGCAATGGGAGAGGCCACGACAGTGAGAGGCCCGCATACTGCAAGAGAAATAAAAAATAATAAAATAATAAAATGAAATAAAATACATAGGGATAAACATAACCCAAAAATGTGCAAGAAATTTTCAGTAAAAACGATAAAACATTGCTGAGAGAAATTAAAGAAGATCTAAATGAAAAAAATATGACACGTTCATGGATTGGAAAACTCAATATTGTTAAGATGTCAGTTCATCCTAAATTGATCTGTAGAGTCTGCCATTAGGTTCCAATCAAAATTCCAGCAGTTTTGTTTTTTTTTTAAGAAATTGACAAACTGATCCTAAGATTTATATAGAAATGCAATTGCCAAAACAATGCTGATAAAGAACAAAACTGGAGGACTTCTACAGCCTGATTTCAAGATTCACTATAACACTATAGCAATCAAGATGATAGTGTGGTTTTGGTGAAAGACTAGATATATAGATAACATCAGAAGGCAAATGACGGGACTTCCCTGGTGGTCCAGTGGTAAAGAATCCGCCTTATGCAGGGGACATGGGTTCGATCCCTGGTCAGGGAACTAAGATCCCACATGCCGTGGGACAGCTGAGCCTGTGCACCACAACTACTGAGCTCACACGTCTCAACTAGAGAGCCTGTGTGCTGCAAACTACAGAACCCACATGCCCTTGAACCCGCACGCCACAGCTAGAGAAGAGAAAACACGCACACCACAACTAGAGAGAAGCCCACGTGCCACAACTGAGACCCGACACAGCCAAAAATAAATAAATAGATTCAATGAAGGATGAAAAAAAAGGCAAGTGAATAAACAAATAGTGGTATTTCCATACAATAGAATACTACTCAGCAACGCAAACAACATGGGCAAACCTCAAAAACATTGCTAAGTGAAAGAAATCAGACACAAAAGACCACATACTATAGGGATGAGTGGTATTCTGGGGAGGGGGAATCACCTACAAAGGCATATAAGGGAACCTTGGGGTGATGACAATTTTCTATATCTTGCTAATTATATCTCAGTAAATTATTTTTCTATATCTTGATGGGAGTAATAGATTCAAAGATAAAATTTACCAAACTCATCTAATTGTACACTTAAATTGTTACATTTTAGTGTATATTAATTATAAATTATACCTCAATAAGTTAATTTTAAAAGACAAAAAAAATCTGCGCTTAGACACAACAACATAATGAAATTGCAGAACATGGAAGATAAAGGGAAGAGTTGAAAAGTAGCTGGAGAGAAGAGAGATCCCCTACACAAGAACAGTAGACACCCAGCTTCTCAGGGGTAACATAGAAGCGAGAAGACAGACCATTAACCTTCATATTGCTTAGAGATGTTCTGGAGTTGATGGAGTTGAGTTCCTGAATCATAGTACGGTGAGCAGAGTTCTGGCTAGTAGCTGGTAGGACACTGCTCAACTGGACATTGGAGTATTGACCATGTGGCACAGTGGGCAGTTCATATGCGTGATCTTATTTCATCTTCCTCATCACCCTGTGAGGATAATTGGCTTCTGTTTACAGAGGAAGAAACTGAAGTAGAGGTGCCCACATTTGGTAGAGTTGGGGTTCTCATTGTAGTTCTCTAGAGAGAGCTCCAATCTGATCGTGTGATGTAACAACCCTGTCTGACATGGGTGGATGTGGCTTTGGCGCTAACCTTCAGTCCTTGCACTATGAATGTTTTCACTGGCCATCCAGCCCTACTCGAGGCTGCAAAGGTTCCAGCTGCTCACTCTGCTTTATGTGGTAAAAGAGCCCTGCTGTCCCTGGGAGGCTGGATGAAGTCACTATGACACATCAAGCTCAGTAAAATGCCGCCTTTTGTAGTGGTTGAGATATAATACAACTGTAAAGACACTCATATGACCCTATGCAATGGGGACATCTCCATTGCTAATGGGAGGGACTCTGTGCTATCAGAGTTCAGCTGACATTAGTCTCTGTGTTCAGGCACTGAGCAGGGCACATGCACACGTATTGTCTTATTTATCTTCACAGTGACCCTTGCAATATTATCCCCATTTGTAAATAAGGAAACTGGGATACAGTGATATACCCAGAATCACAGTCAGTGACAGCCAGTCATTGGCAAAGCCATGATGCAAACTCTGGTCCTCTGGGTTAAGAGTGCCACTTCTGCCCTGTGTCACTTTTCCTCTTGCTCCAAGTAACAGATGGTCCCTCTGCCTGCTGAACTGCTGGAAGATTACCAAATCACATCAAAACAACAGAGATAAGTTCTAAGTTCCCCTAAACAGGCTTTGATATCAGCATCAAGTTCGTGCATCTTGCTGTTCCCATCTTCATTGTCCTTCATCTTCCTGGTCATTTTACAAAAGACAACTGTACAATCTTTCCCTAAGGTCTCTGGAAGAATCCATAAATGCCGATGAGGAGGAAAATGCACGTCCTCGGCAGGCTGTGCCTGCAATCCTGCAGGTAAGCCAGCAGCACCATCTCGGCCCAGATGCCTGAGCCGGCTGTGTCACAGAGGGGGGTTCCATTTATTCATTCATTCCTCATTTCTTCAGCAGACGCTTGTTGATGTTACCGAATGATGAGCACTTGGCTTAAAGCTACAGGGAACTCAAAAATGAATAAACCTGTCCCTTTCATATGTGTGGAGGCAGCAGTGTAAAATAATTACAATACTGTGAAAAGAGCTTTTTCTTCTGGCTGCTTGGTGAATTCTTCTGAACTTAGCTTGAACTTCACCTCCTTGTGCTTCTCCCCTTGTCCCACAGCACTCTCAGCACACTTGTGGTAGGGAAGGCATGCTGTTGTAAAGTGCCTGGGTTTCCATGTTCCCTTTCTCCAGACTGAGCCCCACAGCAGGGCTCACATCCAGTTGTTCATTCCCAGGGCCTGGTTAAAGTAGGTACTCAAACAGTGTTTGGATGGGCAGTGCATGTAAGAGCTTGAGTGACTGGGTAGGTTACGCCATTGGTACATCCAAGATGCCATGGGTACGTGGAACACTGTGTCCTGCCAGGGACGGGGGGAGTGGGAACAACTGACAGGCTCCCTGGCAGAGGCCCACCTCTGCTCACAGAATCACACTGGCAACGCCCGCTTTCCAGGTGCTCTTCATATTTTTATTATATCAATAAATAGGGGAGATGCTCGTAAGCACACTAACACATCAGCTCTTGCATATTTGGGTCTATACTTCCAGTTTCTTTACTTACAGACTTAATCTTTCATCATTCCTTCTGTAAGAAACACTTGTTTGCATCCTGGAATTTTCACTTACATCATATCTTCTATGTTGCTATATAGCTTTCAATTCTTTTCATTTCTAAAAAGTACCTACAGAATATAGTGGATATGGCAATATTTATTCCCTTCTTATTGGGCATTTAGGATGTTCGCAAACTTTTGCTACTGTAAATATTTGCTATTATTTGTAACACTTTGAACATCTTTATGCCTTTGTCTTCATTTGTAACTACTGGGCCAGGGAGTGTGGACATTTGCAAAGTTCTTGGTAAAGTTCTTGTGACCTGCAGCTTTCCCAAAGTGTGTGCCAGTGTGCTCCAGTCAAGATATCTGTCTCCCATTACCTTCCAATCAAATTCCTTTGCTGGTGACGGTGTAGACATGGGTCCTGAGGCCCTTAGGCCTCAGAGTTGCACTGGAGATTTTCAGTAAAGGTGTCTGCTTTCCAACTCTGAGAATAAACTTACTTCCCAATCCTGTAGGAAAAACTCCAGCCCTCAAAGAACCGCTGGCTGAAGTATCTGGAAAGGGACTCCAAAGAACAGCTGGAAGAAGGAGGAGTGTGTTTCATCAGACAGCCCTCATCCAAGAGAGAGAAGCCAGACCCTCCCTTCAGTACAGGCCTGCCTAGAAAAAGGTGCCAAGCTAGTAGCTAATCCAGCCCTCACCCATGCCCACCTTGCTGACCTGCGGTTGGGGGTACTGACAAGCAGCTTCCTGTGGTCAGCAGGAAGCCTGAGGGATGTGAGCCAGCAGGCGCCATCACCGCAGGCCCTCTGGCGTGGCCAGGTACCAGGTGCAGCCAGTGCAGAGGTGAGGGCTAGGCAGGATTCCAGTGGGGGTGCCTTTTATGATGCTCACTTAATTCTGAACTTCTAGACTGCACTGACCTCAGGGAAGAACTTAAGGGCAAGGTTGAGAAAGTGAAGTGGGGCCAGAGAAGCCGACAGGCCTGGGAACCTTTAGCTAAGAGCAGGAAAGACCTGACTTTCATGGGTCTCTTCTCCAGTCTTAATCTGCATTTCAGTGAGCTTTCTTTTTTTTTTTTTTTTTAAAAAAGATTTATTTATTTATTTTTGGCTGCATCGGGTCTTGGTTGCAGCACTCGGGATCTTCACTGAGGCATGCAGGATCTTTCATTGTGGCACCCGGGCCCTTCATTGTGGTGCACAGGCTTCTCTCTAGTTGTGGCATGTGGGTTTTCTCTTCTTTATTTGCAGCATGCAGGTTTTCTCTCTGTAGTTGTGGCGCGCAGGCTCCAGGGTGTGTGGTCTCTGTAGTTGTGGCGTGCGGGTTCCAGAGTGCATGGGCTCTGTAGTTTGCGGCGTGTGAGCTCAGTACTTGTGGCGTGCGGGCCTACTTGCCCCATGGCACATGGGGTCCTAATTCCCGTGTCCCCTGCATTGGAAGGCGGATTCTTTACCACTGGACCACCAGGGAAGTCCCTCAGTGAGTTTTCTGAGAGACTGCCTCATCTAGATTAGGATGGCTCTTCTAGGGCAGATGCTATTGGGAGGTAGATTCCAGTTCAGAATAAGAACTTTCTAGCAACTGCAAGGTATAGAGCAGAGAAATGGACTGCCTTAGATGTCATTAGACAGCCTGTTGTTGGCAGTGGGACAGAAGCTGAGCAGCCAGTTGGGAAGCTATAAGGGATGGCAAGGTCCCTACCTGTGCTAGGTGTCAGACCAGGTGACCACCAAGTCAGACTAAGGGTCACTGTTCAATGGTAGAACTGGGTTCTTTTTTTTTTTAATTTTTATTGAAATATAGTTGATTTACAATGTTGTGTTAGTTTCAGGTGTACAGCAAAGTGATTCCGTTTATATATATATAGAGAGAGAGAGAGAGAGAGAGAGAGAGAGATTCTTTTCCATTGTAATTACAAGAAAGACTGGATTCTTGACAGCACTTTTCCTCTGCCAGGAAATGGAGCCAGAGCACAGTCCAGCCTCCATGCAGCCCTAATATCCAGGACTCCAGAAACTGTGAGGTCACCTTGAAGTCCCTGAAGGTCAGTGATTGAGGACAGTGTCCCAGTGGCCATTGAGCAGACACAGGATTTTTAAATTGTTTTGTGGACAATTAAAGTATCACACTTACATCCCGTAAAAGCCCAACTTCCCACATGGGTGTCTTGTTTTCTGTGTCTTAAGCCAACTCCTTTCTCTGGCCTGCACTGTTTCCCTGCCACGCTCCTCCTGTCACTGATGTTAACTCGGGGTCAAAAGGGCAGCTTGATGCCTTGGAGGCAATCAAGGTTGACCAGTAGGGCTGTTCTGCATCAGGACCGTTCCCTTCATTCTGCATGGAGTACCGGGTCTTTGTCAGACTGTTCAGCTTGGGACCTGCCCTGGGTTTCTGAGGAACTGTCACCTTCATTTATCCAGGTGAGTTCTTGTGCATTTGAGGCACTCTCTTCACCTAGGACCTGCTCTTGTTCCTGATGCTTCAAACCTAGACCTTCCAGGCCGCAGAATGCAGGTTTTGCTTTATGCCACAGGCACCCAGGCAGAGGAACTCTGCCAGGCATTTGTCACTGCCATGCCCCAACATAGGCCAGGGTCGTCCTGGCCAGCTTCAGACAGTAGTGGAGAGTGCCCGTCCAAAGCCAAGAGGCAGTGATCAAACTCTGGTGTTGCTACTAACTAGCTATGTGACCCCCAGGTAAGGATGTGGCCCTGAATCTCTAAATTATAATGAGTGTGACAGTTACTGATGTACCAGTCCCAGGGCTAAACATTTTTTATGCACTAATTCTTACCACAAGCCTGTTTTGTTTTGAAGGTGAGGAACTAAGACTGGTGAAGGTTCAGTTGAGGTCACAGCAAATCAGTGGCAGAGCTGGCAGTCTCGAATCACTAACAACTGCCCACAGAGCCTCTTCCATACTGCCTGGGGGTGGTGATGCAGGGTCCCTCCTGTCATTGCTTGCAAATTCCTTTGTAGGCAGTGAAATCCAATTTTTTCTCTTTTTTTGAATTTTAGAATTTTTTTATACATCAGGTTCTTATTAGTCATCCATTTTATACACATCAGTGTATAAATGTCAATCCCAATCGCCCAATTCATCACACCACCACCCCACCCCCCGCCACTTTCCCCACTTGGTGTCTATACATTTGTTCTCTACATCTGTGTCTCTGTTTCTGCCCTGCAAACCGGTTCATCTGTACCATTTTTCTAGGAGTGAAACCCAATTTTCAATGCATCCTCGTTTTCTGAGGTAGAAGGGAGAAGCCAGGCCTCTGTCACTGTCATGTCCCCTGGGGTATTCTGTGCAGCCACTTGTACAGCTTCAAAACCCTGAACATCGTTCTAGAGAGACCTTCCCAGCTGCCTGGCAATAAGCACATGGTCTTCCCAGGTGGTCTCTAGGGCCCTTCCTGCTTGCACCCCTCAGGCACTCCCTCACCTGATGCTAAGGTCCCCATGACATACCCTGATTATAGGAAAACATCTTCCTTTTTTGGGAAGCCTGGTCATGGAATTTGGCAGAGGATTTGGAGTGACAGAGAGGGCATTTATTTGCTGTGCTTTGCTAAACCTCAAAATCAAGACATGTCCCTAGCCTGCCAGGCTACAGAATAGTAGACAGCACAGAGCAGAAAGTGTCAACACCCAGAGGTACAGTCAAGGACTAGTACAGGCACAGGACCTCCTCTCCTTGTCCCTTGAGCCTGCTGGGCATTCTTCTGAATGGAGAACATGGCCATCATCTTGTGTTTCCACCTCAGGACCACACTGGCCTGACAGGGAAGGTCAAAGAAGGAAGCAGTCGTGAGGACTGGGACACCAGGGAGCTCGTCGTTCCTCCGGGGGAACCACCGTGTCCTGCCCAGCAGGTCAGGACCGTGTCTCCTAAGTGGGAACAATTTCTTCCGCCACTTGGAAACAGCTCACATTTGGACACGGAGCCCCTGACCCCCCTGCAAAGAGGCCCCAGGCCAGCTCGAGCAGCACGGACTGAGCAGGGGACCCCCAGGACCCAGACCCCAAGGGAAGGCCTCTGCAGGACCCTTGGTGCACTCCAGCTTCCTCAGGCTACACACACTCCCACGCCTGGGCCCAAGAGGCTCTGCGGAAAGACCCCCGAGCAGTCAGGGGGCACAGGCCCTTGGGCAGAGGGTGGGGCCTTGGTCAAAGGGATGCAGGAGCCTTCTTCACTCCTGCGACTATATGACCTCTTTAAAACCGGAGAGGACTTTGATGACCATCTGTGAATTGAAACTAATGTGTTACTAATGTAGACATATTTGTTAAGTGAGCCCTTCTCCACTTGATCTCTGTGCCACTGGAAACAGGGCTCCCCAAGTTTCTTTTAAATAGTAGGACTAAGGATGACTTATGGGAACTACCAAGAACCAACAATAAACATGACTATCAAACAGATCATCTCTCATCTCACCATCTCTGATTAAAGTGCTTATACCATTTAATTAAGATTGTTTACAAATAGAATGGCTACAAAGCGATTTTCTTACTTTAAAAGCAGTTGACACATTGGGAAATGAGAGAATTACAGTAGTTTTGAAACAGGCAGTACTCAGTGAACAACATCAGTTCCCCTGTCAGCCCTTCTTTATTCCCAGATGTTTAGCCAAAGTCCTGAGCTGTCCTACCCTCTAGTAATCACTACAGCACAGCCTCATCCGCCCCAACAGAATGTTGGCTATACTCTAGCCAAATTCAGAGTATATCAGATTTCTAGCAGAAAATCAGTTACACGTCAGTATACTATAGTCATTTTAAAAAAAGCAAAAAAGCAGAAGGCCATTAGGCAAGATCTATTCTGGACTGCTGGTGTAATCCTGCAGGGAGAGAGTGGGAATATGATGCAGTGTGGCCTCCGCGTCCTCCCCAGCAAGGAGTCTCTCACTCTGCCCCAGGGGGGCACCCCCGGCTGCAAGGAGGCAGGCGCCCACAGGAAGCTGGTTGGAATTACCCCGTGTCACTTGTTCTACTGCCCTAAATGGCTTTGTGCGTCCCCACCCCCCAGATTCTGGAAGAAGAATGCAGAGAAACTGGCCCTTACAGAGGCACTGGGGTTCTATACTAGCTTAACACAACTATGAGAGAAGAAAGAGGACACAGAATGGGTGAGCAGACTTTGTCACAACGGCGGTGGGTGTTTTGAATACTGGATGGTGTCTAGGGCAGCCCCGATGTCATAATCCTTGGTCTGTAGGAGCCTGGTGAGCCAGCCGCCTTCATCAGAGAACCCCATGGATAGCATCTGGGAGAGGGACTCAATCAGCCGGGGGTCAGCTTCTGCCAGAGAGAGTAATGACAGCCATAAGGAAGAGTCACTGGGCCCCAAATGTGACCTGTTATGTGGCAGCATCCTGTCCAGCCAGCAAGTACCCAGGGCCTGCAGGGCCTGGCCCTTTTACAAGGTCTTAACCCTCACAGGGACCCTCCAAGGCAGGAACTGGCAACCTTTTTCTATACAAGGTCAGAGAATAAATATTTTAAGCTGCTTTGCAGGCTATTTGTCCCTGTCACAACTACTCAACTCTGCTGTTACAAGCATAAAAGCAGCCAAACAAAATGTAAACAAATGATCATGGCTGTGTTCCAGTAAAACTTACATTTATGAACACAAATTTAAATTTCATCTAATTTTCCCATCTTGACTTTTTTCCAACCATTATAAAAATGAAAAAATCATTCTTGGCACATAGGGCATAGTTTGCCACTCCCTGCTTTAAGGCAGAGAAGATAAATACTGGTAGCCCAAGGGCTAAATTTGGCCCATAGAATGGATTTCCACTTGAATACTGTTTTAAAAGTCATTGCCATGTGACAGTGATGAACCAGAGCAGGGTGTGAGTGGCCTCTTTTATTCAGTGTGAGTTCTCCAGGCTGGCACACTCTCCACCCGATCATGCTGCTTCCACGCCACCTACTTTACACGGTGGCTTCCTGCCTGGCTCCTACCGGAGCCTTGGCTAGGACCCCTGCTCCAAGGTCAGCACTTTCCATGAGGAAACAGTGAAGATGGACCCCGAGTCCACTTTTAGTAGTGCCAAAGCCAGCGCCGCCACCACATCACATCTGCCTTCGTAATTCTGGGTCTGGATGTTAAGTTTTAGAAAGCTGAGCTTACTAAGGCTCAGTATAGACACAGAGGACAAAACCAACTCCCAATTTTCTCTTACGTCAACAGACAAGCCATGCAGTACAGAACATGATGTCTTTCTGTGTTGCAAAAAGCAAGTGATAGGATGCTCTGAACAGAAAAGACAGAAATACAAAATACTTGAAATCTCTTGCCTGGTGGCAGATGTGGGTACAATGCAGCTTCCTTCAGCCCTGTGGGTCCTTCCTGGGAAGGGTCCAGAGAGCTTGGCCCTTCAGATTCAGGCATCTGTAAAGACTGGAGTTCACCTGTAGACGGGTCCACCTCTTTTGAAGACAAATGAGTCCAGTCATCATCTCCTCCTGAACAGTTATCAGACTCCATCTGTTCCTGGAACAAAACCCCCCATGAGCACAAGGACAAGGACAACAGGCCACCTGACCACAGCCTGGGAGAGTCAGGGCATGGAGGACTAGCAAGAGGCTTTTGCTTTACAAAGTTCTAGCGGAGGGTTCACAGAACAACTTAAATGCCACCGACACTCTGCAACGGAAATGGGTCCCTCTGGCTGTGTGAGTGCCAGGGAAGGGCTGTGCCTGGGGTGCTGGGATAAGCTCTGGGTGGCCACAACCTGGGGATGGCGTGGGAGGGTGCTTGCCTCAGGCTGACCCCCTGACTCCAGGGCGATCTTGTTCACTTGCTCCACCAGAGACTGTGCCATGCCTTCCACGTCCCCGTCTGGCTTGCTGGGGTTGGAACAGCAGCTGCTTGTCTGAGAGCTACACTTCTCCTCTGGGGTGGAGCTGCCTGGGGAGGTGGGTGTCAGGCGGCTTCTCTTTCCTCCATGTTCCACGTCAATATCGACTTCAATGCCTGGAAGCCAAGGAGAAAACAAAAACTTGATTAATAGCTAGCATCCCAGGTGAGCTTCAGAGCCAGAAAGTCCATAAACAGACCTCGTTTTCCCCTAACCATGTAGGACAGCGGCTGCACAGCAGGCAGGGCCAGGCCCTTGGAACAGGGTGAGAGCCAAATACCACGTGTGGCCAGTACCACCTGTGCCACAGTGGTGAGGACCACATAAAGCATCGCACTTGTGTGCAGGGGCCTAGCGATGTGAAAAACATGCACACTGAACACACGGATTTTGTTTAGGCAGGCAGGCAGACAGCCCGTGCAAGGTCTGTGCAAGGCCCATGAGGCTGCAAGCACTGGCTGGCGTGTCTACCTCCAGTCTCTCACACTCTGGGGCACATGCTCACTGAGGGGAAGGGAGGGGACAATCACCAGGGCTATGTTTTTAATTATTTTTAATTTCTCAAAGGGCATGCCCATAGCTTAGAGTCAAACAATTTTAAAAGACTATAGAATGGATAAACAACAAGGTCCTACTGTATAACACATGGAACCATATTCAATATCCTGTGATAAACCATAATAGAAAAGAATATGAAAAAGAATATATATATGTATTACTGAGTCACTTTGCTATACAGCAGAAATTAACACAACATTGTAAATCAACTACACTTCAATAAAATTTTAAAAAAAAGACTACAGTCTTCTATAGAAGATTCCCTGCCCCCCGCCACACAGCCTGGCCCACTCCCCAGAGACAGCTGTCAACCCACAAATGCTCTTTCTTTCTTGACTGCTCAAGTTTACTGCTTATTTCTTACTCTGGAAGATCAACACTTTACCACCCCTTCCCCTATCCTTTCACAAACTCAAGTTTTGGTAAAAACAGCATTCAGTGTTTACATTAGTGCCACTACATAAATACTGTTGTTTGCTGGGCCAAGTACTGGCCTTATTTACTCTACAGTCTGTTTCTGTAGCAGTAACGATGTCCTCCTTTTCACTTGCTAACTTCCCCCTTATTCTCCCACAGCTTCTCTATAGTGTTTTCTACAACACAGGTTAAGTGTATCAGATGCCGCATCCGTTCTGTTTTTTTCCCTGGAGACCACCCCTGGCGGGCATGGAGCTTCCAGCTCCAGCCTGGACAGGCAACTCTCGGGGCCAGAGGCACAGCTACACCTTTCCTTCCATCCTGGCGACTCCTCTTGTCACTCTTTCATGTGTTGGGTACCATTTTCAAGCACCTCTTTCTTCATTCTGGGCTTATTTCTTCATTTTGGCCAGAGAAAGGGAGTTCAAGCCCAGGTAAGATGATTAAGACCCTTGCATTCCTGACAACTTTGTTCTGCTCCCACACGATCATTTTAGTTGGGTACAGAATTCGAGGTTGAAAAACCACTTTAGATGAGCCTTTTGAAGTCACTTGTCTTCCAGCTCTTGCTGTGCTCCTTGAATTCCCAAGCTTTTATAGCAACCTGGAGAGTTTCCAGAGTCTCTATCCCAAGGGTTCTGACACTTGACAATAACCTTTGGTGTGGGGTCTTTTTTTAGTCATTGTCCAAGGCATTTGGCGTCCCTTTCGATCCAGAGGTTAATGTCCTTAGTGGCAAGAGACTGTCTTGTATTCTTTGTTCATTTCCTCCCTACAGTATACTCTGTTCTCTTTCTGGAATTCCTTCATCCTATATTGGACCTCCAGGATTAATCCTCAAATTATCCCATCTTTTCTCTCCTTCTGCCTCTATTTGTTTTGCTTCTAGAATATTTCCTTGAGATGATCTTAAAATCTGAGACTTCTTTTGAAGTTGTCTTTTTTCTATTTTTTTAAAATTTCCAAGAGCATTCTTATTCTGTTCCTTTATGTTATCATTTTTATGGTATCCTGTTTTTCATGGATACAAACTTTTTTGTATCTCACTGAGGATGTTACCATTCTCTTCCCTATTAAGTCCTTCCTCAAGTTCCTTCTTTCCCGTGCATGGAGGTTTTCCCCAAACTGTTGGTGATCCATAGCTGTCTGATCCTAACGAGGCACTAAGGAAAAGATGATGGGAAGCACTCTCCACGGGGCCAGGGCCGTCATTATCTTCCAACTGCAGGCTGACAGGGTGCCCAGCCAGGTAATGGGATCCTAGGTGGCAGAGCTGTCAGATGCTCCTCTGGTGCATTCAGCCTCTCCTGAGCAGGGACTCCCCAGCTTCTGCTGGACTCTCTCATTCATGATGCCCAGTTTCAGGCTGGTGCCTCACCCTGCCCTGTGTCCCTAGTGTCCCCACCTCTGAAGCTTCCCTGGGTCAAGTGCTCCAGCAATTAAATTAAACACCAGGTCTCCTGCAAGGGTTGGCAAGGGCCAGCATCTGGCTGACTGGGACTTTGAAGTCTCTACATGATCCTTAATAGGTGTCTTCAACCCCTCCCCTGGTTCCCTGGCCTTCTCTGGTCCCTGCAC